CTGCTGCTGCTGCTGCTGCTGCTGCTGCTGACCCTGTAGCTATCGCATGAAAAGGAGTGCGTTTTCAACTGTTGTTTGAAGCTTGTGCGTGTACAGAAGCCGCCATGCTGCTGCTGCTGCTGCTGCAGCACTTGCTGCCTTCGGTGCTTCTGTTGCAGGTGCGCACGAGACCCCGCAGCAGCTAACTGCCCCATTGCTGCGAGTCTTTGATCACTGCTACTGCTGCTGCTGCTGCTGCTGCTGGGGAGCGCGAGAGGCTGAGCGCCTGCAGGCCCCCCGGCGCTGCGGCCTCGCCTGGCGGGGACCTTCAAGGCCTGCCTCTGCAAGCCCCCACCTGCCCCCACTGCTGCTGCTGCTGCTGCTGCTGCTGCTGCTGGCTGGGCCTGCTGCGGCAGCCTGTGCCCCATCTCCTTCTGCCTCTGTCTACAAACTTCTATGTGGCGGTCCACCGACTTCAAACAAAAGCGCCGCGAGCACAAGGGGCAGCGCTCAGCGGGCATTAGGCGCCACCTGCAGCAGCAGCAGCAGGAGCAGGAGCAGCAGCAGCAGGAGCAGCAGCAGGAGCAGGAGGCACAGAAACGAGGGCTCCGTGAGACACTTGGGGGAGAATGTGAGAACAGCAGGAGTGCGTTGAGGTCAAAACTAAACGCCTATAGCCACCATGAGCAACAGCAGCAGCAACAGAATGCGCTGCAGCAAAGTCATGCTGCTGCTGCTGCTGCTGCTGCTGCTGAACATAATGAATTACCTGTCCTGAGGCTTTGCTCTCTGTAGGTCAGTTCGTCCGCAGGTAGATGTTTTCTTCTGCTGCTGCTCGTGCTCGTGCTGCTGCTGCTGCTGCAGCTCGTGCTGCTGCTGCTGCCGCGGCTGCAGCTGTTGAGGGACGTGCTGCTGCTGCAGTCTCGTGTCTTCTGTAACTAGCTGCTGCTGTTTGAGCTTCTGCTGCTCCAAATGGGTCTGCTGCTGCTTTTGCAGCTCTTCGTCCTGCTGCAGCTGTTGCTGCTGCTGACACCGCTGCTGCTGCTCGCGCAGACTTTCTAGGTCTATGCTGCAGCTGCTAGTGAATCTGCTACTGGCTGCCCTGCTGCTGCTACTTTTTCTGCTGCTGTTTTTCTTGCTGCTGCTGCTGCTCCTGCTGCCCTGCTGCAGCGGAGGTGGATCTCCTGGGGAGCTGCTTAAGCAGCTAATCCCCAGAGGAGGTTCCTCCTCTGCTGCAGCAGCAGCAGTAGCAGCAGCAGCTACTGCTGCAGCAGTGTGCGCTGCTGTCTCTTCTGGAGCGGCAGCTGCTGCTGCAGTGGGAGCAACAGCCGCAGCAGAGGGCCCAGGCAAAGCAGCTACGGCAGCAGCAGCAGCATCAGCAGCTAAACTGCGGCCTTCTACGTTCGCTGCTGCTGTTGCTGTTGGTGCTGCTGCTGCTGCCGCTACTGCAGCTGCTACCCGGGAAGGCCGTTCTGGTGCTTCTGCTGTTTTGTCTTCTTTGGAAGCTCGGCGGTCTCCTGCAAGAAATGTCCTTTTGCTGTTGCTGCCATTGCTGCTGCTGCTGCTGCTGCTTTTGCTGCTGCTGCTGCTGCTCTCCTCTTGCTTCGTTGTCTCTGCAGCAGAGCCACGAGAAGCAGCACCAGCAGCAGAATCGGGGAGTTTCTTGCTCGTGTTGCTTTTGTTGCTGCTGCTGCTGCTGCGGGTCTCATCTGTGCGCTGCCTGCTGTCGACGCCGCTGCTGATGTTGCTGCTGCTGCTGCTGCTGTTGCCACTGCGAGCAGCAGCCCAACGTGCTGCTGCAGCAGCCTTTGCTGCTGCAGCATCTCTCCTTTGCTTGACTGCTTGCTGCTTCAATAGCAGCTGGCGCTGCTGCTCCCGCTGCTGCTCCTCCTGCAGCTGCCTCAGCTGCAACTCTTGCCGCAGCCGCTGCTGCTTCTGCTGCTCCAGCTGCTGCTGCTTCTGCCTCTGCCGCTGCTGCTTCAGCAGCATTTGGGTTTGAGCTGCTTCGCATATCTTAATGTGCTTCTCAATGCGAGAAGCAGCAAAGTTTCTGCAGACACAAAGACACATGATCACTGCTGCTGCTGCTGCTGCTGCTCCTGCTGCTGCTGCTGCTGATCCTGTGTTTGCTGCCACTGCTGCTGGTACGGTGGGTTCTGAGCTTGCTGCTGGCTAGCTAGCTAGCCAGCTAGCTGTATGAGGTTAGCTAGCTAGCTAACCTGAGACAGCAGCAGCATTGCTGCAACTCTTCGTCTTGCTGCTGCTGCTGCAGCTGCTGTAGCAGCTGCTGCTGCTGCCTTTCAACTGCCTCCTCAAAATTCTCTATGCCCTTTACTGGCTGATCCTCGACTTGCTGCTGCTGCTGCATCTGCTGCTGCATTTGCTGCTGCCCTTCGTGATCGTGCTGCAGCTGCTGCTGCATGTGCTGCTGCTGCAGCTGCCACTGCTGCAGCTCCTCGTGGTCATCAAAATCTTGATGTTGGTGCTGCTGCTGCTGGAAGAACTCTTGCTGCTGCTGCAGCAGCTGCTGCTCGTGCTGCTGCTGCTGCTGTTCCCACTGGCTTGCAAAGTCTTGCTGCTGCTGCAGCAGAAGCTGCTGCTGCTGCTGCTCCAGGAGCTGCGACTCCTCTCGTTCACGCTGCTCTTGCTGCTGCAGCGCTTCGAGGGCTTCATCCTCTGCAGCAGCAAAACGCGCTTGTTCCTGAAGCTGTTGCTGCTGCAGCTGCTGCTGCTGCAGTTGTTGCTGTTGCAACTGCTGCTGCTGCAGCTGCAGCTGCTGCAGCTGCTGCTGCTGCTCCTGGTCAGCTGTCTGAAGCAGCAAAGATGGAAGCACCTGCAGCACACGCGGAATGCAGCCACACACACTTTGATCACCTGTCAGCATTCACATTGCTGCTGCTACTGCTGCTGCTGCTGTTTGCGGAGTTGCTGCTGATATCACGGACTTCTGCTGCTTTCTCGCCAACAGAAAAGGGGCCTTGCAGCAGCTCGAGCTGATGCTGCTGCTGCAGTTGCTGCTGCAGCCGCAGCAGCTCCATATGCCCCATACTGCCATCTCGATCAGAAGGCGATGCTCCCGGCAGCAGCAACTGCGGCTGCTGCTGCAGATGCTGCTGCAGCAGCTGCTGCTGCTGCTGCTGCGTACTTCTGGGCGATTCTGTGCAGCTGATGCTGATGAAGCGGCTGCTGGCGTTGCTGCCCGCTGTGTCCTCTGCTGCTGCGTTTTCAAAATGCTTCTGCTGCTGCTGCTGCAGCTGCTGCTGCTGCTGCTCGTTGCTGCCAGAAAGGTTGAGGGTGATGGAGGGCAGCCGCAACAAGTCGCTTTTGCTGCTGCCGCTGCTGCCGCTGCTGCAGTTGCTGGTGAGTCTCCCGCTGCTGCTGCAGTTGCTTAGATAGCCACTGGGGTAGCTGCTTGCTGCTTCAAGTAGTGCTGCTGCACTTGGCTGTTCTCCCTGCTGCTGCTGCTGCTGCTGCGCAGCTAGCAGCAACGCTGCTGCCTGCAGCAGCAGAGGGCCCTGCAGCGCGTTGGGCACAGCGGGAACTGACCCATGCAGCTGCAGCAGCTGCTGCTGCTGGTTCTGTTGCTGCTGCTGCTGTTGTTGCTGCTGCTGCTGCTGCTCTGAGACTGGGGACACCGAATTCGGCTGAGGCTTGTCCGGAGCAGCAGCAGCTGCTGCTGCAGCTGCTGCTGCTGGCCCCGCAGGCAGCTCCTTCTGCTGCTGTTTAGCTTCCATTTTGCCTTATGTTTCAAACAGATGGAGTTTGCTGGAGCTGCTGCTGCTGCTGCAGCAGCAGCAGCAGCAGCAACAACCGGCGTGGCTCTTGCTGCTGCCTCGGGGAGGCCTGCTGCAGCAGCAAGGGGCCGCTGTGTGTTTTTATACTTGGGGTGTATGTACAGTTTTAAATTTGTGCTGCAGCAAAAATCCAAATCGGTTGGCTGCTGCTGCTGCTGCTGCTGCTGCGGCTGTCGTGGCTGCTGCTGAGGCGGTTGAGTCCCTAAGGCCACTGGTCGGCTGCTGCTGCTGCTGCTGCTGCGGCTGCTGCCGCTGCTGCCGCTGTGAGCTGTGATTCTGGTTTGAAAATAAAAATAAAGAAAGACAAAAGTAAATTAAAAAATAAACAAAGGAGATAAACAGAGACAGCAGCAGCAGCTGCTGCTGCTGCAGCAGCGCAGCCGGAGGGCCTCTTGGCGGGGCGGGACGAGCAGCTGGCGATGCTCTCTTGCTGCTGCTGCTGCTGCTGCTGTTGCTGCTGCTGCTGCTGTTGCTGCTGCTAGGATTTTAAATAATAAAAGCTAAATGCATTTCAGACTCAATAAGAGGAAGACAGACACAAAAGTGCGAAGGACAGGTTCGCCCCGCTAGGTAACCCTAGAGCCTAAACCCTAAACCCTAAACCCTAAACCCTAAACCCTAAACCCTAAACGCTAAAACTCAAGAATTGGGTCTAAACAATCATAATTTCTCCGCAATCGTTGCTTCTTAAGATTTAGGACGGACCGTAGGCCCTCAGCCGCGAGACCTCAACCCCAAACCCTAAACCCCAAACCCTAAACCCCAAACCCTAAACCCTAGCCATAAATAAACCCTAGATGCTCAAAGTCGACTCTATCCGCAAGAACACTCGCACTAAACCCTAAACCCTAAACCCTAAACCCTAAACCCTAAACCCTAGCCCTACATATCAAACTAGAAAAAGCCAAGAGCTTGGAACGACGGGTGCTGCTCCTTTTGCTGCTGCCGTTGCCGTTGCCGTTGCTGTTGCTGCTGCTGCTGCTGCTGCTGCTGCCGGTTGCGACCACCACGAGTCGCTGCCAGTAACCAACAATACAAGCAGCATTTGCCGCTGCTGTTGCTGTCGCTGCTGCTGCTGCTGCTGCTGCTGCTATTATAAATCCAAAATGGTTTACTATTTTAGAATCTACTTCTTTATTTTTGGATTATTTACTTTTTCAAAATTGCAAAAATCTGCTGCTGCTGCGCATGCAATTATTCGGGTGTATGTACGTACACCGCAGAAAAGCGCACCTTTAATAATTAATTTTCCTCCACTCATTTTTTTTTGTTTTAAATGCAAAAATTTAGTTTTATTTTATTTGCAGATTAAAGTGCTTTTTAAATATCTTTATTTCAACACATATTTATATATGTCCATCAGTTATTTACAAATATAACTATTATTTATTTATCAGTTTATTTATTTATAGACCTCTCTCATTTATTTATTTATTTAGTTATTTTATTTACTTATTTATTTACCTATTTATTATTTTGTTTATTTATTTATTTATTTATTTACACTTATTCATTAAATTAAAGATATTTATGCATAGACATATATCTTTAATTAGGTAAAGACAAGAGTATTATTTATATTTGTAAGTTAATTATTTGTATTTATTTATATTCATCAAATATTAATTTTTTGTCATTTACAAATGTGTCCTTTTATTTGTTTATTTATTCGTTTATTATAAACAAACTTTTAATAATTTAAGAAGTGTTGTTTTCTATTATTTTAATATTTGCACAGATAGATTTCCACTAAATAAACATTTAATTTATTTATTTTTGATCGCTTTCATTTATTTATTTTTATTTATTTTATTTTATTTATTTTTATTTACTTTTCAGGTGTACGTACACCTGAGGACTACTTGTGCGTCTGCATGCAGCTGTCTGTACACCTGCTCTTTTTTTAATGTAAATTAAAAATGCATCTTGCATCTTTTTGGATATTTCTTGTCCCTTTCATTCCACTTTATTTATTTTATTTCATTTTATTTTATTTTATATTTTTTGATTTTGTTTCATTTTATTTCATTTTATTTTACTTTACTTCATTTTATTTCATATTATCTCACATTATTTCATATTATTTCATTTCATTCTATTTCTTTTATCTCTTTTATTATCTACTGTCTTGATGGAAAATGTATTTAAATGAATAATGTAATAATAGTTAGTGAATAAAATATAGTTAAGTAATTAGTGTAAAAATAATGAATAAAAAATAATAAACTTATTTAGATTTTTCGAAAATAGATCATTAATAACTAGATTATATCCAGATTGAGGTAATGTGTTTGTACAGAAAATGCGTTTATAGTTAACACCTTTAAATATATAATACAAATGTAAAATATATATATAAAATATACATATATATCTATATATATAATATGTATATGTGTAATATATGATTATTATGTATATATGAAATATATATACAAAATATATATATATATATATAATATACATGTGTACTATATATATGTTTATTATATATGTATATATCTTAATATATATATATAAAGCATATATATGTATATATAATATATACATACATATGTATAATTTATGCTTATTATATATATATAAAATATACATACAAAATATATAAATATACATGAATAATATGTTTTTGTTATATATATGTATTATATGTACTGTAAGCATTTATATATTATATTATACATACTATTACATAGAAGACATAAATATATATAAATATATTTTATAAATGATTATTTTCGAATTTAAAAGCTTCCTAAATAATGATAAAATAAAAATTCAATTTTTATTTTTTCTTTTTTTAAAATTCTTATTTTGCTTCGTAAATAGCATTATTGCTTTTTTGCTTTTTCATATTTGCGCCACAAATGCCTTTTCTCTTTTTTAATTTTTGCAAAAAATGAAAATGAAAATTTTAATTGTTTTACACTTTTGCTCCCGTTTCTGCAGCAGCTGCTGCTCGATAAAGCTGCTGCGCTGCTGCTGTGCAAAACTGCAGCAGCAGCAGCAGCAGCGCTTTCGGGCTGCTGCCGCAGCTGCTACAGCTGCTGCTGCTGTTGCAGCTGCAGCAGCAGCTGCTTCAGCTCCAAATAAAACGTGTCTACCGTTCAGGCGGTGGCATTGGTCCACCTGCTGCTGCTGCTGCTGCTGGCATTGTTCAAACTACTGCTGCTGCTGCTGCTCCTGCTGCTGCTGCTACTGCTGGCACTGTTCAAGCTGCAGCAGCAGCGGTAGCTGCAGCGGCTCCAGCTGCAGCAGCACCAAATGCAGCAGCACCGGCTGCAGCATTAGCTGCTGCAGCTTCACCAGCTGCAGCATCAGCTGCTGCGGCAGCACCAGCTGCAGCAGCACCAGCCGCACCAGCATCCGCTGCAGCAGCACCAGCTGCTGCTGCTGCTGCTGCTGCTGCTGCTGCTGCCTTCATATGGCTTTCAGTTGATGGCAAAAAGCCGCGCTGCGAAAATAAAGACGAGAGCCTCGGGCGCTGTCTTGAGCAGCAGCAATCTGCTGCCGCTCCAGCAGCTGCTGCTGCTGCAGTTCCTGCTGCTGCTAACAGCTGTTTTAAAAAAAGTGAAAATTGTTTTCTTTTGAGGCGGCTGTACAGACACTCCAAACAACACTTGCTGCAGGCGACGTCTCAGCTTGCCCACAAACAAGACTCGGTTGCTGCTGCTGTTGCTGTTGCTGCTGCTGCTGCTGCTGCTGCTGATGCTGCTGCTGGAGCCAACAAGAGAAGGGCCACTTAGTAGAGCAGGCAAAAGAGACACTTGCTTCCTCCGCCTGCAAACAAAAGCAAACATGAAGAAGCAGGTACTGCAGCAGCAGCAGCAGCAGCAGCACACGGAGCAGCAACAGCAGCAGCTCAAGGACCAACAGCGGGAGCACAGCAAAAAGCCCAGCAGCAACGGCAGCAGCAGCAGGAGCAGCAGCAAAAACAGCGGCACGACCAGAAGCAGCAGCAGCAGCAGCAGCAGCAGGTACCTGACAGTCTCGAGTGGGTATACGCAAAGCTGCGCTGCTCGCGAGGCGAAGTAGGCGGAAAGCCCAGCAGCAGCAAACGAGCATTTGCTGCTGCTGCTGCTGCTGCTGCTGCTGATTTTGGGGTCTGTTGCTGCTTCTTTGTCGTTTGAAAAAGAGGAAAATGAAGCATCAAGATCTGTAGCAGCAGCAGACTCGCCCTCACAACCAGCAGCAGCAGCAGCAGCAGCAGGCTCTGCAGCAGCAGCAGGCTCTGCAGCAGCGTCAGCCGGATCGCCGCCTTGAGCAGCAGCAGCAGCAGCAGCAGCATCTGTTTCTGCTGCTGCTGACTGCTGCTGTTCTTCTTTTTTGTCATTTATACTTTTAATTATATTTCCAAAAGAAGCAAAAAGGGGAAAAGACACAAAATGAAAAGCAGCAGCAAAAAAGGAAAAAGGAACAGCAGACAGGCAGCTGTAGGCAAAGCCCCGATACAAGCCCAGCAGCCCTGCACACAAACCCTAAACCCTAAACCCTAAACCCTAAACCCTAAACCCTAAACCCTAATGGTGCTACGAGCATGCACCTCGCGCTGCTGCTGCTTCAAAAAATAAAACTAAAACTAAGAATAAAAAAATAAATAGATTAATTATAAACAGATAAATAAATAATAATAAGTAAATAAATAAATAAATAAATAAATCGATTGATAATAAAGGCGCTGCACACCTGAGTGTCGATACACCGCAGCAACACAAACCTTCGCGCTTTTTAGGCCGCTGTGTTCTTCTGCTGCAGCAAAAAGAAAACAAACATTTATTTATTTATTTATTTATTTATTATTTCTTTTATTTATTTGTTTATTTATTTTTTTTACGTATTTATTTATATATTATATTATTTAAATGTTTAATTGTTTGTCTTTTGTTTGTTTATTTATTTGTGTATTTATTTGTTTATTAGTTCATACGTCCACAATTAAAATCGAGCAATAATTAGGTAAATTAATAAATAAATAAATAAATAAATAAATAAATAAATTAATAATAATTAGTAATCAAGTAAAGATTGAATAAAGAATGATTAATAAATGAATAGAAATAAATAAATAAATAAACAAATTAAATAAATAAAAGATGTAAACAAACAAAAAACAAAAAGCTTGTTAAATGTTTCATGAAATATTAATCTACAAAATTTACAAAAATGAAAAAAAACGAAAAAAGGAAAAGGAAAGAAAGAGAATAAAATAAAAAGCAAAAGTAAATTAAAAGAATTAAAAAAGAAATAAAAGAAATTAAAAGAAATTAAAAAAGAAATAAAAGAATTTAGGAGAGAAATTAAAAGAATTTGAAAAAGAAATTAAAAGAAATGAAAAGCAAAAAAGAGGAAAAGAAGGAAAAGACCAAAATGAAGAACGAAAAGAAAAAGGACTAAAAAACAAATAAAGAGGAAATAAAAATAAAACAAAAATAAATAAATAAATAAATTAATTACTTAATTTATTAACTAAAACAAAATAAAACAAATAAAATTGAAAAAAAATAAAATAATAAAACAGAGAAAATAAAATAGAATAAATAAATAAAATTACCTGCTGTCAAAAGAGTTCTGGAGACCTCCAGAGGGTAACAGAGAAAAGAGGCGAAGAGGCAATTGAGGGATAAGTAAAGGCCCTGACAAAATAAACAAATAAATAAATAAATAAATAAATGAATAAATAAATGAATAAATAAATAAACTATTTATTATTTATTTATTTATTTATTTATTTAAAATGATAGGGAAGGAGAGCTATTTAATGAGCTGCGCAGACTGCGCGCGGAACAGGGATGCCCCAAACCCTAGACCCCAAACCCTAAACCCTAAACTCTAAACCCTAAACCCTAAACCCTAAACCCTAAACCCTAAACCCTTTGTTCTGGACCTTTGAGCCTCACCTCCTGAAATATGCGGCGGCCGCCATCTCCCGCGTCAGGTCCCCTGAGACACCCACACATAAAACCCAAACCCTAAACCCTAAACCCTAAACCCTAAACCCTGGACTTTGTGTGGGCAGTCCCGGCTGCTGCATTCAAAAAGCTCCAGCTCAAAAGAATTTAAAAGATTTAAAAGGAGAGGTCGGCCTGAAGACCACTGGTCACAAGCGACTCCCAGCAGCAGCAGCAGCAGCAGCAGCAGCAGCAGCAGCAGGCGCACTGGAACCAGCAGCACCAGCAACAGCAGCAGAAATAGGAGAAGAAGCAGAAGGGCCTCAGGCATATATGACCCAGCAGCACCACCAGCAACAACAGTGCAAGCAGCAAAAACCGCAGCAGCAACAACCGCAGCAGCAACAGCAGCAGCAACAGCAGAAGCAGCAGCAGGAGCAACAGCAGCAGCAGCAGCAAACCTGACGGCGAGGTTGATGGCAAGGCTGATGGCGCATGCAGAAAGAGAACTGAAAGCCCCAATGCCAGCGCCCACCCAGGAACACCTTAGACCCCTTGCTGCTCTTTGCTGCTGCTGCTGCTGCTGCTGCTGTTGCTGCTGCTGCTGTTGCTGCTGCTGCTGCTGCTCGATTGCGCAGCTGGTTTGCTGCAGTATGCGCAGCCGATCGAGGGGCCCCACAGCAGCAACAGATATGGCCAGGGGGCCCCCGAGAGACCAGAGGGAGGCGAGCAGCAGACGCGCTGCAGCACAAACCCCCCAAGCCCTAAACCCTAAACCCTAAACCCTAAACCCTAAACCCTAAACCCTAAACCCTAGCTCACCCGCTCCAGTCCTCTTCTTTCTCTCTTTCTGCTGCTTCCACGTCCGCAGCAAATGCGGCAGCGGCTGCTGCTCCATCAGAAGCTCTAACTGCTGCTGCTGCTGCTGCTGCTGCCGCTGCTGCTGCACCTGCTGCTGCTGCTAGCTGCAGCAAATGCGTCATTTCGAGCAGCAAAATAAAGAGCTAGAATTTGAATTAAATTAAAGACACAAAGGAGAAGTCCATTATAGGAAGAAAAGGGAAAAAAAGAAAGACAGAAGAAGGACAAAAAGGATAAGATAAAGAATAAAAAAAGAAATTAAAAGAATTGAAAAAAGATTAAAAAGAATTAAAAAGGAAAAAGAAACATTTTCAAGTCAAGACACTGGATAGACAAAGAAGAAAACAAAAAAAGGAATACAAGTGAGAGAGGAAAAAGGAGAAAAAAGAAAATTAAAAAAAATTAAAGAGGGAAACAAAAAGAAGAGTAAAAAGAAGCAAAAAGGAGATCGAAAGCAAATAAGAAAGGAAATAAAAAGGACAGTAAAAGGAGACTAAAAAGAAGACAAAAGGAGATAAAAAAGGAGACTAAAAGGAGATTAAGAAGAAGTTTAAAAGAAGATTAAAAGAAGATTAAAAGAAGGTTAAAAAAAGAAAAAAGAAAGAGACTTTATTTGCTTCCAGAAGCAACAAGGGAAATAAAAGGAGAAAAAGAAGAAAAGAATTGAAGTGAGAAAAAGAATATGAAATTAAATAAGAAAAGAAAAAAGAAAAAAATTAATAAGTTAGGAAGTAAATAAATTAGAAACAAATAAATAAATAAATATACTTCGTTAGCAAAAGTAGAAAAGGTAAGAAGTAATAAAAGAGAATTTGGAAAGTAAATAGATAAAAAGTAAAAGGGAAAAGAAAATAATAAATTTAAAAAATAAATAAACAGACGAAAGACACAAATGAAGAATGAAAAAAAAATAAAAGGAAATAAAATGAAATTAAAAAAAAGAAAATGAAATTAAATCAAAAAAAAGTGAAATGGAAATTAAAGGAGATTAGGAGAATTAATAGTACCTGAAAAGACAAATAAAATAATAACCTTAAAAGAAAGACAAAATCATAAAAATTAAAATAGGAAAATAAGAAAATGGAAAAATAGGAAAAGAAAGAATAAAATATTATAATTAAACAAGAAATAAAAAGAGAAAAAAAGAAAAAAGAGAAAACAAAAGGAGGCGCTGAAGAGTTGCTACCAGCCCTTCGACTAAAAAAGAATTTAAAAGAATTAAAAGAATTAAAAGAATTAAAAACATTAAAAAGAATTAAAAGAAATTAAAAAAGAATTGAAAAATAATTTAAAAGGAATTAAAAAATAATTAGAAAAGAATTAATAAAGATAGAAGCGGTGGAAAGGCCCCAGGTGTACGTACACCCAAGGCATTTCTTTAAAGGCCTTTAAAAAAACTTTCCGTTTTATGGTTTTTTCTTTTCGTATTTTTTCGGTTTTTTAATTTTTTAAATTTCTTTCTGGTTCCTATTTTGTTGTTTGTCCCTTTTATTGTCTTTCTTTTGTTTCATTTTTGTTTATCTTTTGTTTCTTTTTTGTTTCTTTTTTGTTTCCTCTTTGTTGCTTTTTTGTTGCAGCTTTGTATCTGTTTAGTTCCCTTTTTTCTTCTTTTTGTTTTTTTCTTATTTCCTTTTTATTTCCTTTTTATTTCCTTTTTATTTCCTTTTTATTTCCTTTTTATTTCCTTTTTATTTCCTTTTTATTTCCTTTTTATTTCCTTTTTATTTCCTTTTTATTTCCTTTTTATTTCCTTTTTATTTCCTTTTTATTTCCTTTTTATTTCCTTTTTACTTCCTTTTTACTTCCTTTTTATTTCCTTTAATATCATATTTACATAATAAATATGATTTATATAATTTATATTGGTTATTTAATTAATGTTAGTTATTTAATGAATATTGGTTATTTAATTAATGTTAGTTATTTAATGAATCTTAGTCATTTAATTAATCTTAGTTGTTCATCCATTACTATTTGTTGAACTAGCCATATCCATTTAATTGATCTTATTCTATTTACCTATTCTTTTGTTTAATTAGTTTGATTTAATTAGCTTTATTGAATTAATTATTTCATTTTATTGATTCATTTCATTTTATTTATTTATTCTTTTCACTAAATTAGTGTTTATTGATTTAATCTCTTTTAAATTAATTTCTACTTATTTAATATCCTTTATTTCTTCAACTACCTCCGTGCATTTAAACATTCCAACTTATTTGATGAATTAGCTGTAATTAATTATTCAACGTAATGCACTTAATCAACCTATTATAATTAATTACTCGAATTAATTAATTAAATTGAATAAATAATGAAATCACTAAACTAATTAATTAATGAACTAGTTAAATTAAATCAAATTGAATTAATCAAACAAACACATCACTTTATTCTCTGCAATTCTTTTCTCCCGCCCCCACCCACCACCCCGCCCAACGCCCAAATAAAACCAAACAACGAATTACCAAATTTAACTAAGCAAACCATGAATCAACCAACCAATTAGCTAATTAATTGACCAATTAACCAATCAATTAATGAATTAATTAATTATTGTTTTTTATTTTTTATTCATTTTAGAATGAGTCGCGTGAAAGTGGCCGTGCGGGTGCGCCCCTTCAACGCGCGCGAAGAGGCGATGGGCAGCATCTGCTGCATCTCGATGAGCGGCAGCAGCACGACGCTGCTGGACCTCGACAGCAGCAGCAGCAGCAGCAGCAGCAGCAGCAGCAGCAGCAGCAGCAGCAGCAGCAGCAGCAGCGGGAGCGGGAGAGAGCCACGGACCTTCACCTTTGACTACTCCTTCTGGTCCCACGACGGCTTCGAGGTGGGCCCCTCGGGGGCCCGCAGGGCCCTCAGGGGGGCCCCCTATGCTGACCAAAAAAGGGTCTTCGAGGCCCTCGGGCAGCAGCTGCTGGCAGCAGCTTGGGAGGGTTTCCACACTTGTTTGTTTGCCTACGGCCAGACGGGCGCGGGCAAGAGCTACTCCATTGTGGGGTACGGAGACGATCCCGGGATCGTCCCCACGGCCTGCCGCGAGATCTTCGCCCGCATCAGCAGCAGCAGCAGCAGCAGCAGCAGCAGCAGCAGCAGCAGCGGCGGGGAGGAGCAGCAGAGTACGAGTTTTGAGGTTACTGTTAGTCTGCTGGAGATTTATAATGAAACTGTTCAGGACCTGCTCATCAGCCCCAGCCAGAGGCCCAAGGCCGGGCTCAACATCCGGTACTCTCAATTAGGGTTTTGCGCGGGTTTCCGTTTCGAGGGTTTGCGCGCCTTTCGCTCTTCTAGGGTTTTGCGGGGAGCGGTTTGAGAGGGCTTGAGGAGGTTTAGGGTTTGGGGGGCTTCGGAGGCGCTTTAGGGGGGTTAGGGCTTTTTAGGGGTTTTGGGGTTTTGTTTAGGGGGTTTTGGGGCTTAAGGGTTTAGGGTTTAAGGTTTAGGGTTCAGCGTTCAGGGTCTAGGGTTTAGGGTTTAGCTCCCTCTCTCATCGGCTCCCTTTTTGGAGCCGCCAGGCCGGCTTCATTAGCTGCTGCTCAAGCCTAAACTTAAACCCTAAACCCTAATTTGTGGTTTGTGTTTTAGAGAGTCGAAGCAGCTCGGAGTTTATGTTGAGGGCTTGACAAAGATTGCAGTCTCTTCTTACGAAGAAATCCAAGCAGTCACTGACAAAGGAACTGCAAACAGAACAAGTTCGTTTTTAGGGTTTGAGGTTTAGGGTTTAGGGTTTAGGTTTTAGGGTTTACGGTTTAGGGTTTAGGGTTTAGGGTTTAGGGTATAGGGTTTAGGGTTTGTTTTAGCAGAAGTGAGCATGGCGGCGGTTTTCCTCGTTTTTTCATCCATCGGCAAAAGCGCCTTTTGTGATTCTTAGCTCCAAACCCTAAACCATAAACCCTAAACCCTAATTTGTGGTTTGTTTGCGTCTCAGTCGGCGCGACGCTGATGAATGCGACGAGCAGCCGCGTGGGTTTCTTTAGAAGAACAGAATTATTTTTAATTTGATTAAAAATAAAAAAGAATTATTTTAAATTTATAACTTTAAAAAATGAATTGTTTCTAATTTGCAATTTCAATTTCCACAAATCCACTTAAACCCTCAAAAACCCCAGAAGGGACTTTTACCCTCTTGCATGCAGTTCGCAACTAAAAGCAATTAAACAATTAATCAGACTAAACCCAAATAACATAAAAACCCTAAACCCTAAACCCTAAACCCTAAACCCTAAACCCTAAACCCTAAACCCTAAACCCTAAACCCTAAACCCCAAACCCCAAACCCTAAAAACCTCCAGAAGCCACGAAAGCACGCAAAACAAACTCGCCGACACCAAACCAACCCAAAGAACAAAAGCAAAACCAAAGCAAAAAAAACCAAAAACAAAAAGAAATAACAAAGAAGTGGAAAGCAAAAAGCAAAATCCCGAAACAAACCAGCAGCAAACTGTTTGCTGCTGCAGGCCCACACAGTGACCTGCATCGAGCTGCTGCAGCTCACTTCCTTCAAAGGCCACCAAGGCCGCCAACTTAGTGTTATCAACTTAGTCGATTTGGCAGGATCTGAAAAAGCAAACAAGACAGGAGCTGAGGGCACAAGACTCAAGGAAGGTTGCGCAATTAACAAGTCCCTTTCGGCCCTCGGGAACGTAATTAGTGCCCTCGCGGAGGCCCAGGGGGGCCCCCCGGGGGGCCCCCCGGGGGGCCCCCGGGGGGCCCCCAGGGGGGCCCCCCTCGTTGTGCCCTATAGAGACAGCAAACTGACGCGGCTGCTGCAGAACGCTCTCGGGGGCAGCAGCAAAACTATTATGCTTTGTGCTTTGTCTCCGGCGAGCAGCAATTATGAAGAAAGTTTAAGTACTTTGAGATATGCAGATAGAGCAAAAAGCATCAAAAATAAAGCTGTTGTTAATGAAGATCCTGTTCAGAAACTCATCCGTGAACTCCAGGAAGAAAACGCCAAACTCAAGAAACTCCTCGATGGTCCAGCCAACGGGTTTAGGGTTTAGGGTTTGGGGTTTAGGGTTTGGGGTTTGGGGTTTGGGGTTCAGGGTTTGGGGTTTGGGGTTTAGAGTTTAGGGTGCAGGGTTTGAGGTTTAGGGTTTGGGGTTTGCGGTTTGGGGTTTGGGCCTTGAGGTTTAGGGTTTAGGGTTTAAGGTTTAGGGTTTAGGGTTTAGGGTTTAGGGTTTGCGTGGGTTCAGGCCAGGGCCCTCTGGAGGGGCCCCCGCCTTCAGCTGAAGAAACCCTCGCGCTGCAGAGGGCCCACGAAGAAGAAATAAAAGCCATGGAAAATGCAATTGCAGAAATGCAAAAGTCTTGGGAAGACAAGTTGAAGGAGGCCCACGCCAAGCTGCAGCAGCAGCAAGCAGGTCAGCAGCAGCAGCAGCAGCAGCAGCCGCAGCAGCACTGCAGCAGCGGCGGCGGTAGCAGCACTGCAGCAGCAGCAGCAGCAGCGGCGTCGGCAGAACTGCTGCAGCAGCGAAACTGCTGCGGCTTGCAGCCGTGCCAAAGAGCGAGAGGGAGGGTTTGTAGGGTTTAGGGTTTAGAGTTTAGGGTTTAGGGTTTAGGGTTTAGGGTTTGTGTGTGAGATCAGGGCCTGACTGGGAGAAGGTGTGTCACATAACTTTGTTGAATGAAGACCCTCTTCTTTCGGGGTCCTTTTCGATGGCCATTCCTGCTGCTCCTGGGAAGTTGTTGATAAAAAGAAAGACAAAAGAAGCAGCAGAGCAGCAGCAGGAAGCAGCAGCGCAGCAGGAAGCAGCAGCAGCGCAGCAGGCAGCAGCACAGGAGGCGCAGCAGCAGCAGCAGCAGCAGCAGGCGGACGCGGTGCTGCTGCTGTCGGGCCCCACAGTCAGCAGCAGGCACTGCAGCATCTATTTCGAGGCTTCCGGAGCTGCTGGGAGTCCCAGAAAAGCAGCAGCCACAGCAGCAGCAGCAGCAGCAAACGAAGCGGAAGCAGCAGCAAATGGAAATGAGGACTCAAATGGACTATTTATCGAGGCCTTGGAGGCCGAAAAAGGCACTTTTTTAAACGGAAAAGAACTGCAAAAAGGAGAAAAAGTGCTGCTGCAGTGCGGCGACCGCGTGGTCGTGGGCCACAGCTACGCCTTCCTGGTGTACGTACCCCAGGTGTGGGGCCCCACACGCAGCAAACTTCTTGCTGCTGCTTCTTTTGCTGCAGCAATGGAGGAAGTCAGCAGCAGCAAAGGCGCACTCCTCACTGCAACAAACTCTGGAAAACAAATCGAACTCGAAACCCTCGAAAGGTCCAAGTACAAACAAAAACTCAAGGAGGCCGACGAGGCCCTCCTCAAACAAAAGGAGGTGCTGCTGCTGCTGCTGCTGCTGGTGGTGCTCCTCTTTCTGCTGCTGTCGCTGCTGCTGGTGCATCTGCTGCCGCTGCTTCTGCTGCTTCTTCTCCTCGTTCTGCTGCCGCTGCAGCTGCTGCTGCTCTATCTGTTGCTGTTGCTTCCTTGTCTGCTGCTGCTGCCGTTGCTGCTGCTATCTCTGCTGCCGCTGTTGTGATGGCTTTTCATTCTGCTGCTGCTTCGATCGACTTATCTGCTGCTGGTGCGATTTCCTTATCTGCTGCTGCTGCGATTGCGTTTTCCACTCTTGCTGCTCCTGCTGTTGCCTTATCTGCTGCTTCTGCTGCTGTTTGTTGCTGCTGCCGCTGCTGCTACCGCTGCTGCTGCTTCCGTGTCGGCTGCGGCTGCCACTTGTGTCCTTTCCGCTACTGCTGCTGCTGCTAGTAATCTGCTGCGCTGCTACGGCGACCCCTGCTGCTGCTGCTGCTGCTGCTGCTGCTGCAGGAGTACGAAGCAAAGCTGCAGGCTCTTGAGCAGAAGAACAACGAGGAGCAGCTGCAGAAAGTAAAAGAAGAATTTTTAAATGAACAAAAAAAGTTGGAGACAGAAAAAAGACAACTTGAAATTAAAGAACTCAAAAGGCGACAAGAGGAGGGGGACCTCATGCTGCTCAACGAGCAGCTCGCCAGAGTACCCCAAACCCTAAACCCTAAACCCTAAACCCTAAACCCTAAACCCTAGGCCGCAGCAAATCTTTGAAGGCGGGTTCTCCACTTGGTCCTGGGGCGCTCTGGGAGAGCCGCGTGGCGAAAGAAGCTGAACCGCGTGCGCCTCCGCTGCTGCTGCTGCTGCTGCTGCTGCTGCTGCTGCTGTGCTGCAGCTGCTGCCGCTGCTGCGGGAGGCGAACGTGATAGCTGCGGAGCTGGGGCTGGGCTACGAGTGCTGCCCGCTGCTGCAGACTCGCGTGTCAGTGAAGAAAAAGGAGACAGTCGTGAGTGTCTCTTTGCTGCTGAAGGGTTTTCGAATTTGCTGCTGGTCTGCTGCTGCTTTCGAAGACCGCCTCATCCTCATGAGGGAACTCTTCGACAAGTGGCTCGAAGCCCCAGACCCCAACGCCTTCCTCGCAGGTAATGCTGCTGCTGCTGCTGCTGCTGCTGCTGTTGCTGCTGCTGCTGTTGCGGGTGCGGATGTTCCTGCTGCTGCGGATGCTGCTGCTGCTGCGGATGCTAGTGGTGTTGATGCTTTGTTTTCGCTATTGCGTCTGCTGCTGCTGCTAGTTTTGATGTGGTTTCTGCTGCAGCTGCTGCTTTTGCTGCTGCTCCTGCTGCTTCTGCATTATTTGCAGTTCTTCTTGCTGTTGCTGTTGTTGCGTAGTTTGTTGCTACTGCCCCTTAGTTATTTGCTGCTGTAGTTGCTGTTGCTGCTGCAGCTGTAACGCGCCTTGTCGTTGCTGCTGCTGCTACGTGGTTCGTTGCTGCTGCAGCTGATGCTGTGTTGCTTCTTGCTGCTGTAGTTGTCTCGGCTTCTGCTGCTGCTGCTGTTGCTGCTGTTGTTGCTGCTGCTGTTGCAGCTGTCGCTGCCATATGGTTCTTTGCTGCTGCAGTGCGGCTGCTGCTGCTGTTGCTGCCTATGTTGCCTTTGCTGCTGCTGGCAGCGCTGCAGCCGCTGCAGCTGCTGCTGCAGCTGCTGCAGCTGCTGCTGCAGCGCTAGCAAAGATGAAGCACCGAAACAAAACCGACCAAACTACTGAGCAGCAGCAGCTGGAGCTGCCAGCGCAGCAGCAGCAGCAGCTGCTGCTGGTGCTGGTGCAGCGAAGCAAAGTGAGCTAAAATGTATTTGTTTTCAGGACTAACTGACGAAGAAAACCCTTTTTTTGAACCTTTTCCAGAAACAACCCTCGTGGGGGCTGGGGACTTGTATTTAAAACCCTTGGCGCTGCAGCTGCAAAACGAGGCCACTGTCAAGCTCTTCGACACAGAGGCCAGGCCAACTGGACAGGCAAGGGTTTAGGGTTTAGGGTTTAGGGTTTAGAGGGTGGGGCTTGGGAGCTGGGGTTTGCGGACTAAGGGCTGGAGCTTAGGTTTTACGGGCAGAGCGCTGAAATTTAGGGTTTAGGGGGTAGGTTTTTGGGGTTAGGGTTTAGGGTTTAGGGTTTAGGGTTTAGGGTTTAGGGTTTAGGGAGATCGCTGGAAAGCCGTTTCTGGTAGATACCTCGCAGGGACCCAATTCAAAGCAAATTAAACAAAAAACAAACAAATTAAATAAATAAACAAATAGATAAACAAATGAATAAATAAATAAATAAATAAATTTTGATTTTAATTTTCAGATTGAAGTTGGGGTTTTTCCAGTGACTCGCGAAGGCCAGGAAATTCCAGATGAAGAAATTAAAGAAAATCCCCAAGACCTAATTGGCAGCAATTTATGCAAGTCCAAATTTATTATCTATTTATTTATTTATTATTTATTATTTATTATTTATTATTTATTTATTTATTTATTATCTATTTGCTTATTTATTTGCGTAGTTTAGTGTATATCGGCAGCAATTTATGCAAGTCCAGATTTATTAATTATTTATTGTTTATTTATTATTTATTTATTATTTGTATATTATTTATTTGTTATTTATTTATTTGTTTGTTTGTTCATATATTTACTTATTTGTTTGCTTATTTATTCGTTTGTTTATTCGCTACTATTTATTTATTTATTTATTTATTTATTATTCATCTATGTATTCATTTATGTATTTATTTATTCATGTATTTATTTATTTATTTATTATTTATGTATTTATTTATATATTTATTTATTTATTTATTATTTATTTATTTGTTTTCAGATTATCAAGTCAAAATAGGCAAAGCCACTGGTCTCCCCGTAGAAAATGCGCAGCAGCTTTTTGTGCGCTTTTATCCATACCTTGCCGAAGAGCCTTACGAGACTCCAGCAGCAGCAGGAGCAGCAGCAGCAGCAGGAGCAGCAGCAGCAGCAGGAGCAGCAGCAGGGGCAGGCTCGTCAGCAGCGACGACCCCGAGGGCCGCAGCGACGGCAACGCTGCGGCCCGCAGTAGCAGCAGCAGCAGCAACAGCAGAAGTCGACTTCAAATACTGCACTTTGCTGCAGCAGCAACCTGTAACAGCAGATTTCTTGGACTACCTCAACACAGAGACACTCCGATTCGAAGTTTGGGTAAAAGACGAAAAGGCAGCACAAGCATTCAAGGAGCAGCAAAACAGCAGCAGCAGCAGCAGCAGTGGCAGCAGCAGCACCAGCAGCAGCAGTGGCAGCAGCAGCAGCAGTGGCAGCAGCAGCTGTGGCAACGGCAACGGCAGCAGCAGCAGCAGCGGAGGCGGCTGCAGATATACGTACAACGGATACGATAAAACAGCAGCAGCAGATGCTGCATACAACGTGCTCGATTTGCTGCCGGGCATGCAGAGACAACCAGCAGCAGCAGCAGCAGCAGCAGCAGCAAACAAGGGGAAGAAGGAGACACTCGAGAACGCCGTGGGCAGAGACCCCAAGACAGGCAAATATGTCTACAATGGATACGAAACACTCAGCCAGCAGCAGCAGCAGCAGCCACAGCAGCAGCAGCAGCAGCAGCAGCAGCAGCAGCAAGAAAAAGAGAGCCACAAAAACCCTAGCCTCAGCATCCGGCGCTGGTCAAGGGGAAAGACAGTTGCGCATGCAGGCAGAAAGCAGAGCAGCAAAAGCAATCAAGAGATCCACAGGACCTCAACAGAAAATGCTGCTGCTGCTGCTGCAGCAGCAGCTGCTGCTGCTGCTGAGGGGGAGCAGCAGAAGCAGAATGAAACAAAGCAGCAGGGCGCCGGCGCCAGCGGGGGAGCTAAGGAAAAGCAAAAGGCAGAAGCAACACCCAATGCTGCTGCTGCTGCTGCTGCTGCACCTGCTGCTGCGCCTGGTACTGCTGCTGCTACTGCGCAGCCAGCAGCAGCAGCGGCCAAAGGCCCTAGTCCTGCAGCAGAGCAGAAACCCAAGGACAACAAGCAGCAGCAGCAGCAGCAGCAGCAGCAGCCAAAGGAAGAAAAGGCGAAGGAGCAGCGCCAGGCAGGCCCGCAGGATCAGCAGCAGAAAAAACCTCAGCAGCAGCAGCAGCAGCAGCAAGAGCGAGGGAACGAGCAGCAGACGCCGCAGCAGCAGCTGCCGCATGACGACGAAGAACAGCAGCAGCAGCAGCAGCAGCGAAAGATCCACCTCTTCAAACACCCCCAGAATGCCTGCTGCACAATTCAATAAAGAAAATAAATGAAATAAATAAAATAAACAAAATAAACAAAATAAACAAAATAAATAAAATAAATAAAATAAATAAAGTAAATAACCTAAATAAAAATAAATAACTTGAGTGCATTCAGCAGCAAAAAAAGACAATGAAGAACTTGCTGCTGTAAAGACACCCGAAAAGACCCGCAGGGCTATTTGTTGCATCTTTAAAATACAAATAAATAAATAAATAAATAAATAAATAGTAAAGCAATTTATTTATTTATTCATTTATTCGCTTATTTGTTTATTTACATACTTTCAACTTGATTAAGGAAACTGAATTTGGCCTGTGGTTCTTCGGCTGTTTCTTTTGCTGCTCCTGCTGCTGTTAAGGTTGCTACTGCTGCTGCTGCTGCTGCTGTTAGTGGTGCTACCTCTGCTGCTGCTGCTGCTGTTAGTCTTGCTACCGCTACTGCTGCTGTTGCAGCTCACGGTGCTAATGCGTTGTTGCTGCTGTGGTTGCTGCTTTCTTGTTGCTGCTGCCGTTGCTGCCAGCGTGTTGCTGCTGCGGTTGTTGCTGCTCTTGCTGCTATTGCTGCTGCAGTATCTATTTGCATCTGCATTTGCTGCAACAATTAGAAACAGTGAAGCAGCAAAGTATTAAAAAAGAGATTACGCCAGATCCCGAGTTGCTGCTTCGCAGCACATACTACACGAAAAGGAACACGACTCTCCTGCTGCAGCTGTAGCAGCAGCAACTCCTGCTGCTGCTGCCGCTGCCGTTGCTGCAACAGCAGCAGCTGCTGCTGCTGCAGTTGCTGCTGTTGCTGCAACATTTTCACGTGTATCACAGAGCACCACCTCATGGTGCAGCTTCGACACTTGTTGCCGTTGCTGCTGCTGCAGCAGCATCTGCTGCTGCTGCTGTTGCTGGCTGCACTGCTTATAGCAAGTAATTGTCCGTTCGATCAGGCCCTTCGCTGCTGCTGTCTGGGTCCGCTGCTGCTGCTGCTGCTGCAGCTTGTCTCTTCTCCCCTGTGAGCAGCAGCCTCTTGTGCTGCTCTGCTGCTGCAGCTCGCTGCAGCAGCTGCAGCAGCTCCGGGTCATGCTGCGGCAGCCGCCGCACAAAGGCTGCATGCAGCTCATCGAGTGGCGTGCGCTTCCGCTTGATGCCTACTCCTTTAGGAAGCGGCTGCAGCTGCTGCTGTCGGCGCTGCTGCTGCTGCTGCTGCTGCTGCAGCCGCTGCTGCTGCAGGTACTGCCTCCGAGCAGCAAAGTTGCTGTAGGGGTCCGCAAAGAAGTCCCCAAAAAAGAGCCAGCGGTCCCTCCACAGCCGCGGCTTGGGGTGGTAGAGGCGGCACCGAATAGCCAGCCTGCAGCAGCAGCAGCAGCAGCAGCAGCAGATAAGGGGATGAGGGCGAGGCACGTGGCAGCTGAAATGGGGTCCAAAAGAGACGCTAAGATGGAGACAAACAAAGAATGGAAATAAACAGCAGCGCTGCCTGCAGCAGCAGTTGCAGCTGCAGCAGCAGCAACAGCAGCAGCAGCAATAGCAGCAGCAGCAGCTGTGTACTTTCTTTCATTTTTGTATCTCCTGTAGTCTCCTCTGCCATCTCCCCTCATTCCCAGCAGCCGCCGCGTCTTCTCCACTTCATAGTTGTAAAACTTTTCACCATAAGGCAGCCGCAATTCTGCAGCAGCAGCAGCAGCAGCAGCAGCAAGATCCCATGCAGCGCCAAACGCTCAAACGACCTGCAGCTAGCTGTCTATGCAATGAGCCCAGCTAGCTGCTGCGCGGTGCACTCAGCAGCACCCGCACCCACAAGAAGGCCAGCAGCAGCAGCAACAGCAGCAGCAGCAGCAGCAGCAGCCACAGCAGCAGCAGCAGCAGCAGCACCAAAGGCAGACCGTAGGGTCTGTCTGTCTCTGCTAGAAGATGCCGGTCTTCAAAAGAGCCCGGCAGCGGGCGGCGCATTTCCAGTAGGCGCATAAACCAAGTGCGATCTCCCTGCAGCAGCAGCAGCAGCAGCAGCGGGAGCTATAGAGACACGAGCACTCTCCCGAGCAGCAGCAGCAAGGGCAGCAGAAGCAGCAGGATTAGTCGCAACAGCAGCAACAACAGCTGTGGCAGCAGTAGCAGCCCTATTGGATTTACCCAAGCCAAGTGTTCTAAGACGCATGCAGCAACGGCAGCAACAGCAGCAAAAGCAGCAACAGCAGCAGCAACAACACGAGCAGCAGCAACAGGAGCAGCTGTACAAGCGCGACCACCGGCTCCGCGCCGTCCACGCCGGAGGCGTTGGATCCGCAATAACGAGGGTTTAGGGTTTAGGGTTTAGAGTTTAGGGCTTAGGGTTTGACCTGCATGGTGGCGAACTGCAGCAGCAACTCTTCAACTTTTTTCAAAGACACTCCTGCTGCTGCTGCTACTGCTTTGCGGCTGAAAGGGGACAGCGCAGAGGCGCAGCAAAGACTCAACTCCGAAGGAGACAGACACTCCAGGATTTCAACTGCACGCAGCAAACACACACAGGGTTTAGGGTGTAGGGTTTGGGGTTTAGGGTTTGGGGTTCAGGGTTTGGAGTTTGGGGTTTGAGGTTTGGCGGTGGGGTTCAGCACTAGGGTCGGAGAAGAGAGGCAGCGCAGGCCCTGGACTCCTCAGCTAGGGTTTAGGGTTTAGGGTTTAGGGTTTAGGGTTTAAGCTGCGCGCTGCAGCAGCAGGGGAGCCCGCGAGCGCGCATCAATTGGAGTTAATTATGATTTGTGAACTTGCAAAACTTGGGAAATTTGAATCATCTTACTCTATTTATATAACTAATTTAATTTAATTAATTAATTTAAATTCGAAAACCCTAAAAAATGGTTTATGGGCATTCTTTTGCTGCTGGAAAACCCCGAAAAGTCGCTCCCAGGGTATTTTTTTCGGAAAAACAGCAGAAAATTGGGATTTCTTTCCTTGAAAGTTTGCCCCCATTTGCTGCGGAGGAAAAGTCGAATAAAGTGTCTAAAAAGCTGCTGAAAAAGGCTTTTATTTGATGCTTTTAGGAGCTTTTTACTTTCTTGCTGCAGCTGCTGCGCCTCCGCAGAAGCAGCAGGCCCAAACCTCTTCATTCCTAAACCCTCCAGCTTCCTCCCCGCCTTTCGCCGGAGGCCCCCCAGCTCGTCTTCGCAGGCCTCCAGGTACGCCAGCAGCCGCTGCAGCAGCAGCAGCAGCAGCAGCGTGGCAGCAGCAGCGGCGCAAGCAGCAGCAGCAGCGACGAGGGCAGCACGGCAGCGGCAGCAACAGGCACACGGGAACAGGCAAATTATCAAGGAGGTAAACGAAGATGGGCTGGCAGCAGCAGCAGCAGCTGCTGCTGCTGCAGCAGCATAGGCTGGTACGCGGCTCCACAACGATACGATAGAAGCAGCAGCAGCAGCAGCAGCAGCAGCACCCGCTTGAGTGTGAGGAAGTCCTCCAGGGCGAAAAGCCCTTCTTTGGCCATCAGCTGCTTAATGTAATAGACGTAAAACTGCTGCAGCAGCAGCTGCTGCTTCTGCTGCTGCCGGCCTTCGCGGTCCACCAAAGAAGAGACAGCCTCTCTTCCCTAAAAGATTAAAAAAGAATTTAAAAATAAAAATAAAAAGATTTTAAAATGAAAGCCACGGCCACGATGGCCTCGTGACCACTGGTCAGAAGCCCAGGAGCAGCAGCAGCAGCAGCAGCAGCGCCTGGACCAGCAGCAGCAGAAGCAGCAGCAGCAGCCGTGGTAGTAGTAGCAGGAGCAGCAGCAGAACCAGCAGCAGCTCCAGCAGTAGAAGCAGCAGCAGCAGCAGTAGTAGTAGGACGCAGTAGCAGTAGCAGCAGTAGCAGCAGTAGCAGTAGTAGAAAGCAGCAGCTGCACCAGCAGCAGCAGCAAGACATACCTTGCGCTCTATGGACATCAAAGTGTCAAATATGCCTTTAGGTGCAGCAGCAGCAGCAGGGGCCCCCTGGGGGACCCCTGGAGGCTTCAGGGACTGTGGGGGGGCCCCCAGAGCAGAAAACTTTTGTAAGAAATTGGCACCAGCAAAATGGCGCTGGTGGGGACACGAAGAAGGAGCTCCCGCTGCTGCAGCAGCAGCTGCTGCTGCTGCTGCAGCTGCTGCTGGGAGCAGCAAGGGGGAAAGGTGGGAGCCCAAGAAACGCTGCATAACGGGCTGAAGAGATAAAGAAACAAAGGGAGAAAGAAAGGGAAAAATAATTTAAAAAGAAACAAAAATTAGAACAAATGGAAGCAAGGAAACGGACATGCTGCTGCTGCAGCTGCTGCTGCAGCAGCAACTCAAGGCTCAGAAAGACTGGGGACTCGTTCGCGGCGGGCTGCAGCAGCAGCCAGCAGCAGCAGCAGCAAGCAGCAGCAGCAGAACCAGCGGCGGCAGGACCAGCCAGGGCTGGGGGGATAGGAGCCAGCAGCAGCAGCACCGGCAGCAGCAGCGGCAGGAGCAGCAGCAGCAGCAGCAGCAGCGGCAGCAGGAGCAGCAGCAGGAGAGGGAGAGGCGCAGCAGCAGCAGCAGATTCTGGCAGGGAGTTTCCTCTGTTGATGCTACAGATATTCAGGGAGACACTTTATTGCTGCTGCAGTGGGACTTAGAGAAGGAGCTTAGCAGCAGTAAAAGCAACGGCGATAGCAGCAACAGCAGCAGCAGCAGCAGCAATTGCATTCTAATGTATTCTTTTCCCCTCAGTGTCCTCAGTGCCCTCGCAGACCCCTTCGCCCGCCCCCCTCAGCAGAAGCAGAGAGAAGCAGATCTTGCGGCATCACCATATGGCAGCAGCAGCAGCAGCAGCAGCGAGACTTGGAGGCTGCTGGTGAGCGGGCGCAGCGATTTGCTGCTGCTGCTAAATGATGCTGTGTGTCTGCGGCTGCAGCTTGGCGCATCTGGCGTCTTTCTAAGGCGCCGCTTTTTGCTGCAGCAGCCTGTGTTACTTCCCGCTGCTGCTGCTTCCAGCAGCAGCAGCAGCAGCAGCAGCAGCAGCAGGCAGCTGCCGCTGCAGCGGTTTGTCGATGTGTGCTGCTGCTCCTTTTACCTGTACGCCCTAACGGCGCCGCCGCTGCAGCAAGTCCTCATTTGGAGTGTTTCTGCAGGAGTGGCAGTGCATGCAATTGAGCTGCCTCTCTACGACCCCCAGCAGCAGCAGCAGCAGCAGCAGCAGCAGCTGCAGCTGCAGCAGAAAAAGCAGCAACGGCTATCTCAGCAAAATAGCGGTGAACGCCTGACCGGCGAGGGGAAAAACTCCGTCGGCAGCAAGCAGTGCTGCTGCTGCCATTGCTGCTGCTGCTGCTGCGTCGCAGCAGCAGCAGAAGAGCTGCCGGTGGTGCTGCTGTCTGTGCGCGTAAGCCAAGACTCTCTTTATCTGGTCGTTGGAGACAGCAGAAACTGTCTTCGTGTTGTTGCTTTGAGGGTTTACTTTGCTGCAGCAGCAGCTGCAGCAGCAGCAGCAGCTAGCTGGGGCAACGCATCAGCAAACACCATGGGAGGCGCTCCCTGCGGCGAGAGGGAGAGAGCAGCAGAAGGGCTCCCTCTAAGGAAGCAGCTGCTGCCAGCTGCTGCTGCGCTTTCTGCTTTCCCAGCAGCTTTTGGCCTCCTGGCTTTACGCCTGCCAATTGCTGCATCTCCTGCTGCTGGAGCTGCTGCAGCTGCTGCACCTGCAGCTGCTTCTGCTGCTGCGCTTGCAGCTGTTGCACCCGCTGCTGCTGCATCTGCTGCTGCTGCATCGGCTGCTGCTGCACCTGCTGCTGCTGCGACGCCTGCGAAAGTGTACAAGCAGCTGCTCAAGGCATGCGCCTTTATCTCAGCAACAGTAAGACGAGGGGACCCCATTTTGCCTGCTGGGCTCTCGTCACTTAACAGCAGCTGCAGCAGCAGCAGCAACAGCAGCAGCAACAGTAGCGACAGCACCAGTAGCAACAGCACACAGAGTGCCATTGTATTTGTCTCCCCTGAGGCTCTTCGCTTCGTGCAGCAGGTTGTCGTGAAAAAGCAGCAGCACCGACACCAGCAGCAGCAGCAGCAGATAGACAGGCAGCAGGCGGCGCAGCAGCTCTGTGAAGAGCTGCAGCTAGCGCTGCTGCAGCAAGAGACACGCGCGCTTTTGCTGCTGCAGCAGCAACAGCTGCTGCAGCAGTACGAAGGGTTCTGCCGCAGCAGTGAAGCAGCGAATGGAAACAGCAAAGCCTTTAGCTGGCCTGCAGCAAGGGTAGAGCTGCAGCAGCTGAAGGAGCAGCAGCAACAGCAGCAGCAGCAAGTGTCTTGGTTGCTGCCTCCCTACGAGCTCCAGCAGCAGCCTGTCGGGCAGCAGGCGTGGCGAGAGGTGCAGCTGCTGCAGCAAGACTTCCCGCTGCACCTGCTGCAGCTGCAGCCCTCCAGAAGCAGCACTAGAGGCCCAGCAGCAGATGCAAGTCCCCTTCTAGCTGAGCTTGAGACTTTGATGGATGCATGCGCCTTGGTAAGCTGCTGCTGATGTCGAATCTGCTGCTGTTCCTGCTGCTGCTGCTGACTCTGCTGCAGTTGTTGCCGTTGCTGCTACTACGCTGCCAGTGCTGCAGTTGGTGCTAGAAATCCTGTTGCTGCTCCTGCTGCTGATGCCGCTTCCACTGCAGCTTTTGAGGCTGTTGCTGCTGCTACGGCAGCAGCGGCAGCAGCAGCTGTTGCTCCTTCTGCGGCAGGAAAGACATAGACACAGGGAGTTTGTTTTCATATAAGCGAGTCGCCGTATAGAGCAGCAATGCTTGCATATGCTGCTGCTGCTGCTGCTGCTGCTGCTGCTGGGGCTGCTGCTGTATGCAGGGTGCTGCAGTAGCTGCTGATGACGCGCCAGCTGGCGGCCTCTCTTGCTGCGGCGATGGGGAGCTCGTTGAGCTGCTGGCTTCCTTTGCCAGTGAGCAGCAGCAGCAGCAACACGAGCAGCAGCACCAAAAGCAGCAGCAGCGGCAAACACGGATTCAACGGCTTCATGAAACAGCTGCAAGGCTGCAGCAGGCGCAGCGCCAGCGTGCAATGATGGAGGCGCGGCCCCCCTGGCTGTACACAGCAGTTTTGCCTTTCCACTGCGGCAGAAGCAGCAGCAGCAGCAGCAGTAGCAGCAACACGCCTTTGCTGCTTGATGAGGTCCTGTCACTGCAGACTACGGGGAGCTCCGGTCAGCGCGGAGCTTCAGGTGGTCCGCCAAGCAGCAGCAGCAGCAGCAGCGACGGCGAGTGCAGCAGAAGCAGCAACGGCGACGGCAAGTGCAGCAGCAGCTGCAGCAACCGCGGAGTTGAAGAGAGCAACAGCCACCATTGCTGCTGCTATCGTACCACACGCTTGCGCATTTTTCCAAGCGATGCATTCATTTTCGTTGAAGGTATTTCTTGCTGCAGCAGCAATAGGCCCAGCAGCAGCTGGGAACTCAGCAGCAGTAGCAGCAGCAGCAGCAGAGGCTCTTACTGCAGCGTCTCGTACAGGTGCTGGCTCATCAAGTGGCCGTTTTCTGGCTGCGACGGCGGCACAAAAGCGTTTTTTGGACCATCTGGTTCTGTTGCACCTGCTTCTGCAGCTGCTGCTTCACCTGCTTCTGCACTTGCTGCTGCACAGGGCGCTCCCAGCAGCAGCCCGTTCTCGCCGTGGGGGCGAGAAAGCAGCAAAGGCGGCAGACAGAAGCAGCAGCAGCAGCAGCAAGAGCTGCCCCGCGGGGAGCTGCCAGTGCAGCTGTGCGTCTCTATGGGAAGGGGTTTGGGGATCGTTTCTTGCTGCTGCCGTGCTGCGCTGCTGCGGCACCCCAGCGGCTTGCTGTTTGCTGCTGTGGGGAGCAGCAGCACGCTGGAGCTGCTGTCTCGTGTGCTGCTGATGGAAGGGCCACAAGCAGCAGCAGCCTTTTGCATGCAGAATGGCCTTGATAGCAGTCAAGTCGCGTTGCTGCTCCTGCAGCTGTCGCTCCGCTGCAGAGACCTCAAGCGCATGCAAGAGGCCCTAGCTCTCTTGCAGCAGCAGCAGCAAATGATAGCCATGCGGCTGCTGATGGTTTTTGTCTTCAATGGATACAGCGCAGAGGCGCTGCCTTTGGCATTTGCAGCAGCAGAACTGCGCGCTGATCCTGCTGCTGCTGCTGCCGCCACTTCAGCTGCAGCAGGTGCCGGCACTGCTGCGGCTGCGCCTCTCATCTATGAGTCCACTGCTGTTGCTCAGCATGCGCTGCTGCTGCTGCAGACGCTACACCGGTATCAGGAGCAGCAGCAGCAGCAACAGTGCTCGGCCGAGCTGCACCAGCTGAGGGATCGCCGCAACGTAAGGCAAGTGCACAGCAGCAGCAGCAGCGACAGCAGCAGAAGCAGCAGCAACGAGATCAGCGTTGCCTTCCCGGCGTCTTTGGTGTCTTTGGTTGTTCCTTGGCGTGCAGCAACAAACACAGAAGCAACAGCAGCCGTAGCAGCAGTGGTAGCAGCAAGACCCCCTGCAGATGTTCTGCTGCAGTGCGAAGCAGCATCAATGCTAGATATAGGCTTTAGCTCGCGTTTGCTGCTGCGGCTGCTGCGGTTTGCTGTTTCACTCACCGACGTGCGGGTGCTGGCGAAGATTGACCTTGCAGCAGCAGCAGCTGCTGCTGTACCCAACAGTCAGCAGCAGCAGCAGCAGCAGCTAACTGACGAGCTCTCAGAACTTGCGCTATACGTGCAGCTTTTGAGGTGGCTGCAGCAACGCGTATCGGCAGCTGCCGATGCGCAAAAGCAGTCAATCCAGCAGCAGCAACAGCAGCAGCAGGTGACGCTGCTGCGCACAGACATGGTGCAGCAGCAGCAGCAGCAACAAGAAAGATTCGCTGTGACTCAAAAAGATTCCGAAGTGCCATGGGGCCCTGAAGCCTCCATAGAAACTGTTGTCAGGGAAACGCTGCTGAGTGGACGCATCAGCACAGGTTTGTTGTGGCTGCAGCAGCAGCTGCAGCAGCAGCAGCATCGTGTATCTGCGATGGACCTTCTGCAGCAAGTGGCTAACCGAATGGCCTACAGGCTCTTCTGCTGCCAGCAGGCGGAGCTATTCTTCGTGGGGCTGCAAATGCTGCGCCAAATCGGGGTCAGCATCAGGTGCTGCTGCTGCCGCTGCTGTCTTTTGCTGCTGCTGCCCCCTCCCGTTTCTGGTGTACTATTCTTTGCGGCTCTTATCTGCTGTTGCTAGTGCTGTTAGGCGGCCTCAGTTATAGGAGCTGAGTTGCCTTTTGGTGCTGCTGTTCGTCAGTGCTGCTGCTGCTGCTGCTGCTGCTCGCCGGTGCTGCGGCTTGCAGCCACTATTGCCGCTGCCACTTCGCTGCAGCAACACGGGGTACTTCTGGGCGGTCGCTTTCATTTCACTACATTTTCATCCTCTGTTTCTGTCTTTGCTGCTGCTGCTGCTGCTCCTGCAGGCGGACATTCCTGGCTTCTGTCTACGGGCTGCACTGCTGACAACGCGCACCCCTGTTCGCTGCCGTTTGCTGCGACACCTTTATCACCAGAAGCAGCTGCAGCCTGCGCACATGAAGCTGATCCGCATTATGCAGGTCCTGATTTGCTGCTGCTGCTGTTGCTGGTGCTGCTGCTGCTGCGTGCGGTAACTGGACAGTCGCTACTCCTCGATTCGCTGCTGCAAGTAGCCAGGAACGCCCGCATCTCACAGCTGCTGCACCGATGTGTTTGCTGCTGCAGGTCCTGGAGCTGCTCTTCACGAATCCTTCTTACGAGGCTGAGCTGGCCAGGAGATATTCCTCCATAGCAGCAGCAGCAGCAGACGCCGCAGCAGCAGACACAGCAGCAGCTGCACCAGCAGCCACAGGGGCCGCTGCAACAGAAGATGATGCAAGTTGCGTGGCACTTCCAACTGAAGGTCCTAGCAGAGACACAGCAAGAGATACGCTGAGCTTGGGCAGCAGCAGCAGCAACAGCAGCAGCAACAGCAGCAGCCAGTTCCCTACTGCAGGTGCAGATGCTCCAGAGGACTGCTGGCCCGCCGGGGGCAGCGCAGCCATCATTGCTGGGGCGCTGTGTGAGGGCTATGTCTCGCTGCGAGTACGGAGGCAAATTCTCCAGCAGCAGCAGCAGCAGCAGCAGACACAGCAGCAGCAGCAGACACAGCAGCACACGACGCTCGGCGACAGAAGCTTCTTCACAGGCAAGAGTGACCCTCGGAGATAGAAATTATGAGCGAAAATGACACAAAGATAAATTATGGCAAACAGCAAAAAGCACAAAACCTGAAAAAGGAAGCAGCAGCAGATGCGCGCAGTCGCAGCGATAGACGAACAGCTGAGACAAAAAAGCTAACAGCAGCAGCGGCAGCTGCTGCTGCTAAATCAGCACCAGCAGCAGCAAAGGAAATAAAGACGCATCAACTAGCGCAGGCACAAAAACAGTTATCAGAAAAGGATAATTAATATATTTTAAAACATGGAAGATGGAGGGAACAGCAGGGAGTCTGCCATACAACGCCCACACGGCCTGGGGGTTTCTCTGCATGCAGTTGTGGGTTCTGAGGCGCGCCGCCCCGTAACTGCTGCTGCTGGTGCTGCTGCTGCTGGTGCTGCTGCTGCTTCTGGCCTCTTCAGGGTGCAGCAAAGCTGAGGCAGCAGAAGCACCTCCTGTTTTCACTCCGGAAAGATATCCTAAAGAGGCTCTCAGGGTACAGACTTCTTGGTGCTGCTGTTTTGCTGCAGCAGCCGCTGCTGCTGATGGTGCTGTTTCCCGCGTGATGCAGTTTGCTTGCTACTTTTTGCTGCTGTCACGTTTTGCTGCCGGCATCTAGACTGGCTACCAGCAGTGTGCAGCTCGCCTCAATTTCGTCTTGATCTATCATAAACAATAATATGTTGCCACTCTCCTCTTTTTCCACATTGCTGCTGCTGCTGCTTACGTTGCTATTGGTGGTGGCGGTGCGGGTGGCTGTCCTGCTGCTGCTGCTGCCGCTGCCTTTACAGGCGTGCTGCAGTGGATCGCCAGGCACTGACTACAAACTGGAGCAGCAGCGCTGCAGGCATTTGCAACTCCATGTTGCAGCTCCTCTGCAGCAGCAGCAACAGCAACCAATGTTGCTGTTTCTGTGCTTCAGGCCTGGGCCCATATGGGCTCCGGGGAGGTACCAGACCTCGCCGAGTGCTGCTTCTCGGGTTTCGCGGCTGCTGCTGCTGCTGCTGCCCAGAGCTGTAGCCGTGACTGCAGTGTTGGCCATGAAGGGCTGCATCCGCAGCAGGAACTGCTGCAGCAGCAGTTGCTGCTGTCCCAGAGCCCGGGCGGCAGCAATACAACACTCCACGGAGGGCGCAAGTGGAAGGCCGCAACTGAAGTAGAGGCTGACGTGCTGCAGCTGCACCAAGCAGCAACTGCTGCAGCAGCGGACTCTCACCAGCAGCAGCAGCAGCAGCAACAGCACAGTTTCCTCTTGCGGGCGAATCTCAGGCAAGGCGCAGCACAGACACAGCAACAAACCAGATAAATATATGCTGCCAAGAAAAAACCATCAGAAACTTCAAAATAAATGCAAGACACAATCCCATAGCAGTTAGATTGTTCTTCCGATTACAATTAGTTTTCAAAAATCCCTTTTTGTCTCCTTGTTTGCCCCCGAATTGCTTCCTGTTGCTGCTGCTGTTGTTTGGGCAGCGCCCGTGTCAGTGTCTGTACTGTGCTGCTTTCGTTTTCTTTCTTGAGCAAGTTATTTTGCCTATTTGCATTTGTTTGAACAACAACATAAATGAGGGACAAAAGTATCAGTACTTGACCAGCCGGTGCACTTCTGTAGCCCCTTGTATCCTGCCTTGTGCTGCTGCTGCTGTTGCTGCTGCTGTTGCTGCTGCTTTTGCTGCTGCTGTTGCTGCTGCTGCTGTTGCTGCTGCGTGCCTTCAGGGGGACCTGCTCAGAATGCAGCCGCTTGATAGCGAGCGAGCCGGACCTGCTGTCTGTCTTTGCTGCGCCCCCCGGCGGGAGAAGTGCGTCAGCAAGAGCAGCAGCAGCTGCTGCTGCCAGTGCATCTCTTGGCGGCTACATGAGCCTGTCTCTTTACGAGTTGTCTCTTCTCAAACCCAGCAGCATTTTGCGCATATTTGCTGAGAAGCGGCACGTGCAGCTCGTGCACAATCTGCGGTCTCCCTCGCGCCGCAGCTGCAGCCAAAAACGCCAGCCTCAGCCGCAGCAGCAGCAGCAGCAGCAGCAAGGGCTACACACACTGTGGGAGGTTGCTGCTCGGTATCTCGGCATTTCTGAAGGCATCAAGAGTGCCTTGGTCTGGAAATGTCTTTTCTCTTTTTGTCTGGCGCATTGTGATTGGCGGGGGGTGGCCCTTTGCGTGGCTGAGCTGCCGCTGCAACCCACTGTTACCTGCGACCCTTTGGGGCGCCTTAAACTGGCTACTGCTGCTGCCAGTAGCAGCAGCAGCAGCAGCAGCAAAGGCAAGGTAAAGAGGCTCGCGCTGCTGCAGCGGATCCTTTCCTTTCTACGAAGACGCAGAGAAGGGGGGGAGTCGGTCTTCCTTGACGAGCTGCTGCTGCAGCAGCTTGCAAGGCGAGGTCTGTTTTTAGAGGCTCCAACAGCAGCAGCAGCAGCAGCAGCGGAAGCAGCGGGTACAGAGCATGACGACACAGTTCTGGCTTTGCTGCTCCAGAGACACGCGAAGGCTGGCCGACTGTTTAGGAAGCAGCAGTCTCTGCCGCCGCAGCAGCAGCAACGGCAGCAGCAGCAGCAGCCGCAGCTCGAGGCGGCGGCCGAAATGCTGCCTGTGGGGTCTCTGTCTCCTCTTCACCTCTTTGTCATGCAGCTGTGCCTCTCCAACACGCTTCCCTCTTTGCTTCTTTCCTACCTAGAGGTGAAAATGGCCTCAGCTGCCTTTTGCTGCTGTTGCTGCTGCTGTTGCTGCTGTTGCTGCTGCAATTGCTGCAACTGCTTCCTGGTGAGCTTCCTTTCTGTTTTATCTTTTGCTCTTGTTGTGTGCCTCTCTGACATTAAATACTGCTGCTGTTGCTGCTGTTGCTGCTGCCGCTCTCGCTCTGCCTCGTCTGTGTGAAGTTCATCTATTCAATGGTTTTTTTCTGTCTTTTGCACCTCCGCAGCACTTCTGTTTGGGGAATGACTTTGAAGCTCAGCAGCTCTTAAAAGCCAGCATTCGAGCTAGAAGCAACAATAGCAGCAGCTGCAGCAGCAGCAGCACAAGCAGCAACGGCAGCAGCACCCTGCACTGGGTGACTGTGGCCTTGCTAGGCCGGTTGGGAAACCACGCGCTGGCGGCAGCAGGAATGCATCAAGCAGCAGCTCAGCTTTACCCCCGAGGTTTGCTGCTGCTGTTGTTGCTAGTGCTGCTGCAGTTTCGTTTCACTTGCCGTAGCAACTGCAGCAAGGACAGCGGAACTAGCAGCAGCTGCTCGCAGCCTGCTGCAGCTCTTCCGTGTATTCCTCTAGGGCTTCAAATTTAAATATTAGCATTTCGATTGAATGATTTTGCAAATGCGTTTTCTTTAGGGGACTCTTTTGTTTGCAAGGACTCCGAGGGAACACCATTTTTGCCTGTGTCGGCTGTCTCCCGTCTCTCTCCGCCCATGTTAGTTTCACTGCTGGCCTTTATCCCGCAGCCTCCTGCTGCAGCAGCAGCCACAGCAGCAGCAGCAACCACAGCAGCAGCAGCAGCAGCAGCAGCGGATCCCCGGGGTGGCAGCGAGGGGCAGGAGCACCTCTTTTCTGTTTCCCCTGCAGACTTGCGGTGAGCAGCACCAAGCAGCCATTTGTTGTCCCCTAAGTACTTCCCTTTTAAGTGCTTTCTTTTATGTTTCTAATTTTAGGTTTATTTCTTCTTTTATTTAGACATATCTTTTTCTCTCATCCTCGGCTTGTCTTTCCGTTCTCTCTCCTTTTATTTCCGTTTGCTGGTGCTCTCTTTGTTTCTTTTGCGGCCATTGTTTTTTGCTGGCTAAAGCTTTCGTTGTTCAATTGCTTTTCTTTTCTCTTTTCGTTAGCTCTTTGTTTTCGGTTTTTTTCCTCAGATTTGGTCTGGCACCCTTCAGGGAGTTGTCTAGGGCATACTTTGTGGACTGCATGCAACAGCAGCAGCAGCAGCAGACGCAAGATCTGGTTCAGCAGCAGCAGGAAGGGAAGACGCGGTTTCAGGAGAAGCCTGCGGTCCTGAAAACCTGCCTCTTTGCTGCTTCTGTCTTGGAGCAGCAAAGGCGCATACGCCATTACCAGTCTTTTGGGGGACAAGGGCAGCAGCAGCAACAGGCGCAGCAGCAGCAGAACCCCTCTTGGTTTTTAATGGACATGCAGACATGGCGAAAAGACCTGTCCTTGTTAAATTTACTCTCAGAGTGTTTTCGTTCGCTTGATGTGGGTTCTCTTTTGGAGCCAGTTGAGGTATTTGCTGCTGCTGCTGCAGCAGCAGCTGCTGCTGCTGGTTCTGGCGGAGGCGCTGACTCCTTTAGTGCCACTGGCTGTGTCACCCTCGGTGCTGCAGTGACAGGGGCTGCTGCTGTAGCAAATGGCCTGGAGCAGCAAGGATCAGCAGCAGAAACAGCAGCAGCAACAGCAGCAGAGGCAAAAGCCTTACCTTTGGCTGTTAGGCAGTCCTTTTTGAATGGACAAGCCTTTACTTCTTTGCTGCAACGTGTCCATGGGCCAAAACCAACTACAGCTGCTGCTCTTGACTCCAGCTGCCGCAGCAGCACCAGCGAGGGCTTCAGTGTGGCATATTTCCTTTCTCAGGGTCGTCCCTCTGCTGCCTTTCATTTGCTGCTTGCCAGCCGCAGTAGCTGCCGCTGCTGCTGCTCACGGCGGAGCAGCAGCAGGAGCAGCACATGTCCTGCTGCTGAAGGCAACACTTTCTCTGAAGGGCTGCTGCTACCGCTGGACCCGGAGCAAGCAGACCTGCTGCAGGAAACAGCCGTTCACGTGGCGCTGTGCAACTTACTTGATGAAGGAGTTGTCTCTTCTTGTCTCCTTTTTTTGGAGTTATGCGGCATCGACGCCACCATTCTGCGAGTGGACGCGCAGTCCGCTCGCCGCATTTACGAGCACCAGAAGCAGCAGCAGCAGCAGCAGCGGCAAAATTCTGCTGCAGAAGCGACGAACCGCAGAGCAGCAGTGCCCGGTGATGATGCTGCAGCAGCCACAGTCATACAGCTCTTCCGGGGCTTTCCCCGCCCCTCATCCAAATCTGGCAGCAGCAGCAGCAGCGCGAGCAGCAGCAGCAGAAGCGGCCGGGGCATATCTTCCCCTGACCTTCTGTCAGCTCTTCGCCTTTTAGAAGAAGCCACTTGGGCCCTCAGCGCCCCCCCAGAAAAGGCAGCTTCTGGGAATGCAGCAGCTGCTACTGCTGCAATTAAGAGACAGGCAACTAACCCGTGGCATCTTGTTGCACATTTCTGCAGGCTAGTCTCTATGTCATCGCTGCTGCTGCTGATGCTAGGCTGGAAACTCTCTCTGCTGCTGCTCCCACTGCCTGAGCCCAACACCCCCTTTATGCTGCTGCTACACTGCTGCTACGCTCCATGCTGCAGCTTTTGCTTCTTCGTTGCTGCTGCTGCTGCTGCTGCTATAGGGCCCACGAGCTTCCTCATTCGCTGACGCTGCTGCATGAGTTGGCACGGAAGGGCCACTGGCTGTCTGTGCTTCATGAAGCAGAACTCCAGCGGTGCCCCAAAGACACTTTGCGGGGGGTCATAGAAGGGTGAGCCCTTTGCTGCTGCTGCTGCTGCTGCTACTGCTATTGTTGTGGCTGCTCCCGTTGCTGCGGCTGCTCTCTACTATTGGGCAGTTTGACTGTTGCCGGTGCTGCTGCAGGTATTTCACGGACCCCTGCCTGCGAGGGCACCTGAAGAGAGCGATAGGCTGCAGCAGCAACTCACGTTCTGCTGCAGCAGCACCGGAGTCATTCTGGGGCAATTCAGACCCTCTCTACCTCCTTGTTGCTGTACGATGTGACCAGTGCCACTCCTGTTGCTGTTGCTGTTCTTCTGCTGCAGTGAAAATTTTCCGCTGCTGCTAGTGCTTGCCACTACAACTGAGTTTCTGTTGCCACTTTTCTGCTTTTTGCGGCTCCCACTTCGTTGGTTTTTGCTGCTGTTATTTACTAATTACCTTTACATCACTAGGACACAATTCAGTATAAGAAGATTCTTTGGTGCTGCAGGCGAGACAGAAGCAGCAGCAGCGGCAGCTGGGCCTGCAGCTGCTGCGGGAGGCTCTGCGGCTGCGCCGCCCTCGCCTTGCGGTGTACGCGAGCTGCTTCTCGGACTGCAGTTTGCTGCAGTGCCTGTCTATATGGCTGGCCCTCCAGGCTGCACTGTTGCTGCCGCAGCACCACCACCATCAAAAGCAGCAGCAGCAGCAGCAGCAGCAGCAGCTTGCTGGGCTGCTGCGTCAGTCAGGGCTGCAGCGCATGCAGGTGCACGGAGCTGTCCTACCAACACAGCAGCAGCACCAAGAAATGCTTCCTCGCCTGCTGCAGCTGGTCCAGACGGGCGCTGCAGCTGCAGCATCTGCAGCAGGTGCTGCAGCTCGTGATGAGTGCATTCTGGTTTCTGCAACAGCCGAAACTCTCTGGGGTCTTGTACTGAGTTTAGGGGAGGCCGGTTGCTTCGTGCTGCTGCTGCGGGGCTTTTCTCTCTTTGACCCGAAGAGCCCTCTAATGCATGTTTTGCATTTCTTGAGGTAAATTCCCAAGCGTAAAAGTAGATATGAGAAAATACTTGCATACTGCTGCTGCGGCAGACTAGCATGCATTCTCTAAACTGATTCAACAAGCTTCACATACTCTTCCACACGCGCATGCACACTGTGCCGGCGTCAGGGCTTTTTCGCAACGGCACTTTAAAACGGCGGTGACAGCCCTGAAGCGCTATGTGCTCTACCGCCGCAGCATGCACCAGGCAGTAGCTGCAGCAGCAGCAGACACAGCGGCATTTGCAGCAGCGGGGGCGCCAAAGTCAGCAGAAACAGGCGCAGATGCACCGGGAGATGTAGACGCTTCTGCGAGGGACACTGTACCGCCAGAAGGGTACACGCTTCATGCAGCAGACATTCGGCATGTTAGCAGCGAGCTGCTGCGCATGCTGTTGCTGGCCCAGGGGCCCTGCATGCAACAGCTTCTGCAGCTGCTGCATGAAGTAGGCTACTCGCAGTGCTTTTGTCTTTTGCATCATGCTGCCGCTATCTGCAGTGGGGACAGTCCCGTGCTGCAGCAGCAGTTGCAGAGGCTACTGCAGCAGCAACTGCAGCAGACCGTCGACATGCCTCTGCAAGAGGGGCGCAGCGAGCTTTTGCTGGCGTTGTTGCAGCAGCGCAAGTATGCAGAGGCAAGACAGTGGGCAAGACTAGCAGGTCAGGTCCAGAGCTGAGCGCTTAATGTTAATAGAGTAGAATTCATATTTTCTAGTGACACTTGAGCCCTGGCGAGCCCTTGTGGCACCAAGCGAAGCAGCAGAGGGAGCAAAAAGTCCAAAATTCGTGCCAACGGGGCACTTTCTTACCTGCGTTTTTCATTGCAGGCCTTGGCACCAGTTGCCTGCAGCTTGTGACAGTACACGAAGTTGCCGAGTGCCTCACAGGGCTTCGGAACAGCAGCACCAGTGGTCGGAAGTCCAGGGGTCCAGTGGAAGAGCGTCTGGACGTTTGGGCTCGCTGCTATAGGCTGTTTGCTATTCACCAGTACCCTACGGTGCTTGCTGCAGTCTTTCTGCTTTCTGTGTCTTCTCAAATGGAGGGGGATATCAGTTTGGCGGAGCAGGCCTTGCTGCTGGCTGCTGCCTTGAGCCTTCTGGGAGCCCCGCACCCCAATCCTCCAGCGCTTACTACCCGTGATGCAATCGTGCAGCAGCTTATTAGCTGCGCGCAGGGCAGCTGCACTACTTGCAGAAGCAGCAGCAGCAGCAACGACAGCAGCAACAGCAGCAGCTGCGGCGGTGCGACTGGGGCGGGGGGATTGACATTGATCGGCTGCCTGCCTCTGCAGCCCGAGGAAATGCGTTCTGTGTTTTGGGTAAGGCAAGCAGAGACTGCATCTGATGCGCACGCAGATGATGAGAGCTTTTGCTGCTTGTGCAGCAGCGACACGGACACCCAGAAAGTTGTTCAAAGCGACGAAATCAGCATACGCACCAGCGACCAAAGTTGCTGCAGGTGCTTAGTTTCCCCGCAGTTGCTTGCTCAGCTGCAAGGCCGGCTGCTGCTGCTGCTGACCTCTCAATCCACTGTAGCAGCTGCCACTGCTGCACTGACACCGGAGCTCACGGGAAGCCTGTGGGAGCATCATGCAGCAGAGCCTCAGCTGCTGCTCCACGGAACAGCAACGCCCCTTCCAGCCTGCCACAGCAGCAGCAATGTGCAGCGGCTGCTGGAGCGTCTGCAGCAGCTTGTGGACCCTGAAGCTCCTGCGCTGCCTCTGCACCACTTGGCAGCCCCACAATGGCCTCCTTCACTTGGCGCCCACTTGGAGGCGAAGGACATTTGCCACCAGCAGCAACACCAGGAGAAACGTGCAGAAGAAAGTTTATCGCTGCTACCTGCAAAAAAGTCCCAAGGGAGGGCCACGCAGCAGCAGCCAGCCAGCACGGTGCTGCTGGGCGAGCTGCAGCAGGCGGTGCACCACTCCATATCAATTGGCTGCACGCACATTGCCCGGTCTCTTGTTGGGAGCTTCTTAACTCTGTTGCGAGGGCCTCATCCCGCTAGTGCTGCAGGTGGTGCGCCAAATACCAAGTCAATAGAAGAGGAGCAGCAGCGACAGCACCTCCTGCTGCTTCAGAGTCTGTCTCAAGAGGTGCAACTCGCGGAGCTGCTGCTGCGCGTGGTCACACTACCTATTCCTTTAAAGGCACAGCAGCAACAGCTAGTCCTGCTGCAGACCTTATCTGCTGCGGCTGCTGCTGCGTGCGCCAGCACCAGGCCCGACTCTGGCTCTCTGCCGCAACCCCACAGAGATCTGCTGCAGATGCTGCAGGAACATGTAGGGTCTCCTACAGCTCAGGAACAACAGCAGCAGCGAAAGCAACAACAAGAGCAGGAGGCTGTACAGCAGCATGAAGACAGCGCCAATCAGCAGCAACGCCTCTTATCGCTGCAAATGCACCGGCAGCAGTTGCAGCTGTTGTCTCAGCTGGTGCAGCGCTGCAAGCCGGGGTTGCATGAATTTTGCCTAGAGCTCCTCGTTGTTTTCGCTGTGAGCCTTGTTCTTGTGTCACCTTTTAATGCGGTTCTGAAGCAGCAGCAGCAACGGCCGGAAGAGCTATTGCTGCGCTTGCTGCTGGCGTGTGCCTTCCCCACCTCGGACTTGCCCAAAATCACGCTGTGCATGCGATTTGCCGCAAAGTTAACGAGAGACGGCCAGCTGCAGCAGCAACAGGTTGCTGCTGTCCTTCTTGCTGCCTTTATCGGCCATCAGAAGCAGCACTCGCAAGTCAAGCACATGCAGTGTTCAAGCTCGCAGCAGGGGCCCCAGCAGCAGCAGCGGGTAGTGTGGTTTGAATGGCCACTTCTGCTGCTAAAGGACTTTCTGAGGGTTTGTGAAGCTCCAGGTCTCGCTGGCGCACAGGCGTTGGAGCTGCTGCTTCAACAAGAGCGGCAAGAGATGGAGCGGGCGCAGGTGCTGCAGCTGCAGCACGTGGCCCCTTCTTGTGCTGCTGCAGCAGCGTGTGCTGCTTCTTTGCCGCTTCTGCATGAGCAAGAAGTCGAGGTGTCTTTGCTTGCTTTCTATGACCTAGAGCGCGCATGCAACGCTGCGGGGCTTCTGCAGCTGCTGCAACTGCTACAGCGGCGACTTGAGATGTATATGCAGCTCGGCAAACCGTACTTGCTGCTGCGCGTTCTCACCACCATCTCTCCCTCCCCACATTTCAAGCCAGCAATTCAGTAAGGAGCACAGTAGACACTGGTTCTTCTGCTGCTGTCTTCATTGCTGGTGGTGCTGCTGTCGCCTTTTTTGTACATACAATTTGGGGGACATGAATACTAGATATGTACTGCTTGACTTGCTTTTAGGATGTTGCTAGATGGAGGATACCTGCTGCAACTGCTTGCAGCCTGCCGTAAGGGTATAAGGCAGCAGCAGGTGCAGACGCAACAGCAGCAGCTGCATCAGCAGCAGCTGCTGCTAGAGGCAAACGTTGTACCCGAAGTTCAAGTGTGTGAGTCGCTCGCCCTCGCTGTTTGTGACCTGCTGTATTCCCAGTATGAACAACAGTTCCAGCAGCTGCTGCAGCCAGAGCCTTCCGCGCAGCAGGAGCGGGAAAAGAGGACACTGAAGGTCTCCTTGGATAATCTGATTTTTGCGAACTGGGAACTGGGGTTCAAAAAGGAAGCCGGGTATGCCTTGTGGATGTTTTCATGAGCTCGTACTGTTAATGCTGCACCATGAATCCTCCTGCAACCTTGCTGCTGGACGCACTTTGCTGCGCCTGCAACGCGTGCATTTTTGTACAAGTCCTGCTTTGCTGCAGTCTCCTCCTGCAGCAGGAGGCTTTTCGTTGCCTCGCCATGGGATTGGCACCGCAGGATTTTTATTGCGAACGGGGCGCTGACCGTCTGTCTCTTGGTCTCCAGGTTTGTTGCCTCTTTCACTTCCCTGAGTTTCTGTTTGGCTCCTTAATTTTGGCCAGTGGCATTTTCTCGTGTGCTGCTGCGTCCTGCTGCTCGTGTTGCTGCTGCAGCTGCTGCTCCAGGCCTCGCGGCTCTTTCTTGAAGCAGACTGCACGCCGCTGCACTTGACTTGCTGCCGCCAGGCAGCTCTTGTGGCGCTGCAGCTACGCGCTGTGGAGCTTCAGCTCTCGCGGCAGTCTCTGCAGCAGAAGCAGCTACAGCAACAGGAGCAAGGTCGTCTCCTGGTGTCTCAGCTGCTGCAGCACTGTGGCACGGCTCTTCAAGGAGTTCTTCATCCTTTTAAAGATGCTGAAGCATTTCTAAGAGAGGGCACAGAGCTGCCCTTGCTGCTGCCAAGTCTCGCAACGTCCAGCATAGCAGCGAGCTCTCCACAACAGCAGCAATCAGCAGCAACTAGTGATCCGGCAGCAGTTGACACAATGAGGCAGCAACGATCGTCTTGGTTTCGCAGTCACCTTTTTTCGTTAGATAGGTCTGCGTTTAAGTGGTTCAGTGGAAGGGATGGAGAAGAACGGACTGATCCCTTTGGGAATGCTGCAGCAGCAGCAGCAACAACAACAGGAGCTGCTGCGGCTGCAGAAGCTGTAAGGGAATCTGAGGAGGACGCCGCACTGTCTGTAGGCTTGTCCGGTCCTTATTTGCAATTTTTGCACCTGTCCGTCTCTCAGGTGCTGCTTTTTATCGAATTGCATCCCGACGCCCTAGTGTCTGGCCTAACTGCTCAGGCAAGCGGAGAAGTAGCAGAAACACAGGGCCAAAGAAGCACATACCACGGCCATGCGTGCAGAGATTCACACTATAAGTTCTTGGGGCTTTTGCATGTTGTCCTCGCTGTTCTCCAGTGCAGGGTAGGGGCTCTTGCTTCTGCCTTTGCGCCGGAGAACACTGTGCATTTTTTGTGACCTGCAGTCCGTGTGCTGGGCTGCCGCTGTTTTGCTATTTCTGCGTCCCAGGCTTATCATCACATATACGGTGGTGTTGTGCAACTAGCTTGGCCGCGCGCAGTGTATAGACAGGTCATTCTCAATGGCCGCTTGTCCTACCTCTCTCAGCTTTTGGGCCGGCCTCTCGAACAGCGTTTTGCTGCAGCAAATGACAAGGCATTCCATAAGTCCTACGAGGGCGCAGACATTGGTGCGGGGAGGCTAAGAGGCGGGCCACAGCAAAGCCCACGCCAGCAGCAGCCGCCGAACCTCCCACAGGGGATGTGGGGTGAAAGCCTCAGCAAAGATGCACTGAAAGTGCTCGTGTCTCTTCACCTCAGAGAGTTTGACTTGTCGGGCTGCCACACCGAGAATCTGAAGCAACCCTGCAGCAACGGCAACAAAGGCAATTGGGACAACAATGTGAAGGAAAGCAGCACTGAGACTCGAAGACCGTTCCGTATTCCCGGCATAGAGGAGCATGACGCGGAAACTTACACTGCGGATTTTTCTGTAGATGCCGACGCATATTTGCTGCAGCCCACAGGTGCAGCGGCAAAAGCACTCAGCAAGTCGCAGCAGGCCTGGGAGACGCTGAAGGATTTTGCAGAAAGCAACCTCCTCAGGCTGCTTTTAGAAGCCGTGCCCGATATTCGTGTCCGACTGGAGGTACGGTTTTCTTCATGAAAAAGTGCATTAATGCTTAGCCAGCCAGAATCAAAAGCAGGCACTGCGTCTCCCACAGCTAGCCGTCTAGTTGTTCCCTCCGAACTTTCTCAAACAATACAAACTATACCGCCTACATAACTGCTGTTGTGGAATAACTTCTCCTCGAAGTGCTGCGCTATTCCGAGTTGTTACTTAGGGAGATTGAAAGGTACTGTGATTTCCTCTCTTTCATCTTTTTCCTTTCCTAGTGTGCTCTGTCTGACTCCTGATGCAGCTATTCCTGTCCTTGGGGCCCTCCTTTAGTGCATCCGCGGCTGAGTGCTGCCGCTTGTTGGATGACAGTTGTCTCTACTTGCCGCGAGGCTTTTTCTCAAGCTCAACCCGAGAAGGCTTAGTCCTCGGCACTACGGTGCCAAGGGAGGGCAGCCTGAGCCCACATTACGCTACTGCGGCTCCGTTTGCTGCTGTGCCCCCGGCTTTCACCGATTCTATAGTAGAGGAGCAGCGCAAACGCTGATGGCCGGTAAATAATCCGGTTCAAATTAATTTTCTAGCTGTTCGTTCTGCTTTAGAAAGAATTCGGCATGCGCGCACCTCCAAATAGTCCATAATACCTCGTAGCTGCTTATTCAGTCCCACCATATTCGAAGCCGATTTCGAGGCTTCTTTCTTGTACCTCGGCTTCAATCAAAACAACTTCCACGTTTAAACATATCGAAACGCAAGCGAACGCTGAATCGCTTTGAACAGGTGCTCCAGGAGCTCAGAAATTCATGCGTGCCGCTGATTTGAAGTGCCAGGGCAGGTTAGTCAGGCCAAGGATCATATGAGGAAGCGCAGGGACACATTCCTCTGTGCTGCTTCTTGAACTCTCAAGATGGAAGCGCTACTCCTCCTGGTTACTTTTGTGTACCTCCTGCGAGAACACGATATTTGGTGTGGATACACGAGGATCGCACCGCCGCACCACTAAAGCCTACTGCAGCGGACTTTCCGAAGGCAACACTGGGTCCGATCATGCCGGTACACTTCTAATATTTTTTTAACGTGTAAAGCATAAGTGCTTTACTTTGGAGCCGATGGTTTCACTTGGAAAGAAGACAGGCCGGTAGTTGTCTCTCAAGGCCAGCAGTGGCGCTCGTTTCATGGACTTGCAGGCTTTCCGGGCTCCAGGCAGAATAAATAGTGTGAAACTAAAAAAAGCTAAATTAAAACTAACGGATCTGAGGAATTTGTCAGCAGCGATATGGGACAAACGCCCGAATTTTAATTGCAGAAGCATACGGTGGAAGGCCGGCGCGTGGCAGTAGAGCAGGATATGAAGAATAAACCGGTCGATTTGGTGCCACAAAATGGCAGCATGCGTTTAACATGCATTTAAATAGCTATGTACACAGTGTGGTGTTTTTGTGCAGCCTGTATTATCGCAAAGAATGCGCATTGCCCCTTGCTTTGCCGATCACCGGTTACGAACATTACGGGGTTTCGAATTTTTGAAGCAGATAGTGTCTGCTTTTGCGTAGCTTTGAGGTCCTTCAATAAAAAGCCTCCACAAAAGCGACGTTGCAATACGACAAATGTAGGTTCTGGTAAGGCCAGTTTACCCTGTGTCGAAGCCTGTGTTCGCCTCGGGGAGTCGTGAGCGGTGTTGGGAGAAGTTTACGGAAATCTTCCTCTACACCCCAATTCATTGTAAAAAACTTGGATCCTCGCGTCTTAATTTAATTTTTTTCGCTATGGAAAAGCTTGCAGCCATAAATTTTGGGCTGCGGGGACATAAGCCCCATGCATAATGGATGCGCCATCACTCGAAGGGGTAGTAAGTCCGTAGTAAGTCCGTCCTTCCAGAGTACCTACGCACACTTTACTTTTGAAGAACTTGAGCTGCTTCAAGCTTTCAAGTCCATTTTTATTTGAAGCAAACGCGTTTGGTGGTAGACGGCATTTGACTGTAGGGAGTCGAGAGACGCTTGTCCGCGAAGACGATTACCATCATCTGCCTGCACGTTTTTAAAATGGCTCGTCCCAGTCTCTATAAAATTGTCTTGGCCACCTTTGCAGCTGTGGCGGCAGGGACCTTGGCTCAAGCTGCTGAAATATCTCCTCTAGAGGTTGGGGTGACCACTTCATTGCGAAACATGTCGTCACCTCAGGTTCAGCAAGCTCATCCATCAAAGAGCCCTGGGATTTTGCGTAATAAGCTTTTTCTGTTTTTATCTGGTATCCTGCTTGCCGCTTTTTTTGCTGTGCAATGCCTGAAATTTCTCAAGTCAGCTCCTGTTCCTCCCGCAGAGATGAAGACGCTTCCAGAAGAACAGCCGCGACCTTACCCTGTAGGCAACGACGGAACCGGCGCATGTTTTTACACAATAGAAAAGAGCCATAGTGAGGCACTGAGTAGCGGAAGGCGGTTCGCGTAAATTCGCGTCAACGTTATCGCACAACGAAACACATCGGTGTCTTGCAGGGCGTGCGTACATTACTATCTGGGCGGTGCAAAACCAGTCCCTTATAATCAGCTAATTAAACGGGCACAGACGACACCGTTTGATACTTTTGGACAACTGCCTTGCTGTGTAGACTTGTCGATTCCTTGGACTCGCTTCTCTGTGAGAGCGCTGTGCCGCGTGCCCAGATCAAAGCGCGAACCGGAAAGAGGCAAGCAATTGTAGGCGAAAGCGGTAGACGCTCTATGTGCTTAGGCCAAGGCAAGTGGTGTTCCAAGACAAGTGGTGTTGCAGTTCACCAGCCTTTCTTGTGCGTGTCGCATGTCGAATTAGATGTTTTGACTCAGTTAAATGGCTCTTCACCAGCCCGAGGGCCGCTTCGATTGGGCAGGTGTATGCTACGATCACATGGCAGTGGTCAGCCCAACGGCAGCTTCGATTGGGCAGTTCTGGGATACAATCACAACGTAACATTTTGCGAAATCCCGGGGAACTTTAGGGGTGTGTGTTGCCTTTCTTGAAGGAAGCTCCATGGTTCGGAGCGCCCTGTTAATGTGAGACGAAACGGTTGTACGGTTCCTGCACAATTTCGCAGCTGCATGACAAGCTTAAGCATGACTTGCTGCTCTATTTGCGTGTCTCATGCGCATATCGGCAGCGGAATGGGCCTCGTGCAGATGGTGTCACACTAACATTTGGCTAGTGCACGAAATCGCTCACAATATGTGCTGCATTGGTGGCTTAAAGTTGTAGAACGGGAGCAGAGCTTGCGTATTGCTGCTTGCGCGGGCCGTTATCTTCGATGTGCACACGCACAGCGCTAAAGCCTTCGCGGCTGAGGGCACTCGCTGCTTCAGAGGTTCGGGCATACTGGAAACATGTTGGAGTTGCCCACGCTGTTTTCAGGAAGTATGTTTGACTCGGCCACTTGGCTCTCTACATTACCTATTATACCCGTGAAGGCCTTCGTAGGTGATGCTGCAAACTTCACAGGGGAGCTGGCAGTGCTGTTCAAGATATTATTTCAAAGCTATCTTTGTACATTCGCACAGAAAGCTTTGAGTTCTGAGTACCTATGAAGAAATGTGCGTGCTCGACGCGATGCTGCATGTAAATACGGCGAGCGCCGCTAGTTTTGGGCAGCGGATTCCGCGCCTTATAGCCTGTTGGCGGACAAAATTGAATCTAGAAAGTACCTAAAGAACATATGCAGACTGAAGGGTTCAATACTCAGCCTGTGGGTAGCTTGTGGAATTTGCCATACGGTGTGGCTGTCGCAGCAGCGCGCAAGAGGCAGTGAAAGATGCGCTCGATGAAAACTATTTCACTTTCTGCTCCAACATTGTTCAACGAGCTTCTCTGCAAAATAATTATCACTCTCAGGCTTCCATCTTCTTATCTGTGGCATGGCAGTGGCTGCATCGAATATTCAGTCTGGGTGGCACGATTAGCCTAAGCATTGCGTGCTTAACACATGCCCCAGTGCTGTACTTAATCGAGGTATCTGGGTAGGCCAACAGCTCTAAATCTTTCTGACTGCAAGTCTAATGCTAGTGGGGATTTGTTAGCCGTAATCAACACGTGTGCTGCAGGCAATTTCTCAGAATGTGCGTCCTATTTTTAAGGCACTCCATCCTCTTATGAAACGAGCAAACGCTCTTTTGCACTCTGGGTCCACTATGACAACTGCAGAAGAAACAATTCTGAAGCAGCTTCACACAGTCACTGGCATGAGCTGCACAAGCTTTCTTGTAGCACGCGCTTTCTTTGGTATCCACAGATGGCGAAAGAGGGGCATTTGGCGCGAAAGAGCGAAAATACGCGCGTTTGGCGCGAAAGAGCGATTGGTTCTGTGTCAGATGTAATTTGCTTGCGATTGCAGCCAGTGTGTTGCTCAGATGACCGCCGCACTATTGATATTGCCAGAAGCCCCGCAATGTCGGTGCTTGACACGTTCTTCGATGAAGGCGTTACAATCAGTAATTTAATGCTGGGAATGCTCATGTGGATGAGAGCACTTCGGTGATTGTTGTCTCTTTTGGCCTAAAACAGAGTTTTCTAGTGTGTTTAAGTTTCCAGTCCATGCTCTGTGTCTGTGCAGAATGTAAGCACCACTGAGCTGGAAAGAGGCAACAGGAAATCTGCGCTCGTCTCGAATGGCCCTTTCAATTGGGTACAAAGAAGGATTCAAGCAGTGCAAAAGGTTGCCGTGCTTTTCTGATGCTTGGCATGAAAACCCCATTTCGTTATCGTGTTTGGTTGAGCTGCTCACTAGCTCGTACGTTGGGGCGCACTGGCAATCATTGAATCAATAGTCTTATAGACGACACGAGTATGCGTATGACAACACACTGCTGGAATCATAGGTGTGAAAGCCAAATACGTTGTTGAGCTATATAGCTCGCCACCAGCTTGCTCAGTGTGTAACTGAAATTCTCCCCATAGCTGAAGCCTAAGAAAAGAAGGCCTAGTTGCTTTTCTGATTAGAAATACAGGTTTATGTGTGCTAGATTGCAGCGAGTGCGTCACCGAGCGGCATTGCGACACGGGTGGCTATGCAAAACTGTGTAC